GGAGGAGATATCAAGAAAAGATGGTAAATTTGAAGAAATCACTAGCATGTATCATACTTATCATAGCAGATAAACCGTGACAATAAGCTTGAAACAAAACAAACTCGTAGACAATCACAAATCTCTGAGTAGATGCAGTACTTTACAATTCAATAGCAAATAAATCATTGATCGTGACTTCAAGCATGGAAGAAGATAGATTCATAGACAAGCACAAATCTTTGACGAAATGCAATACTTTAATATTCAATAGGAGTCAAAGATTAACGTATTGACTTGCATTAGCTAAATCAAATAAGGTGACTTGGATGACTTCATCAGTTGATTAAGTTTCTTTTTTTGTTATGCCTCATTCTTAGAATCTATATTGAGCTTATTGATGTTAAGAAACAAAAAAGTGATTTGGAATTAATCAAAAAGTGTTCATTTTTTGCTGCAGTGATGCCCAATTTACTTCAAGTTCAGATTTGGAGAGCGATGATGTATCTAAAATATGTCACTTGATTCCATGTATGAGAAGTACTTTAGTCCAAGAGAGTGAACTATTGTATCCTAGAACGCAAGCTCAAGTGACTCGTAAGTCATTGTTGTTTTCTCGGAAGAAAATGAAATCAAGACTCTACTCGGATGCTCCATTGACGGGTTGGACAAGTAATATATTCAACTGTTCAACCAACTCGAGTTCGTTAAGAAGAAAAGAGACAAGATCTTGAAACTCTTCAATTTACTCTAACGGCTCCTCGTTCAACGCATTTTGTTCTCACCACAAACCACCATATGCGTTGCCATGATGATGAAGTCATCATAGTATGGCTCCGACATCATTAATGAATCTTGATCAATGCATAAAAATTTGATGTAATGCTCCAATAATTGGCGTTTGAAACTCAATATAATCTTTTGGATTGAAAATTTATGCGTCATTGCAACTTGCATCTCAACCTTGACAAAACATGTGCGATTGCGGCGAACGCAACACACTCTCTTTTACACCTTGTGCTATCGTTCAATGCCAACTGAGGATCATGGTCACGTAAACACCTTGATCAGATAAAGAGCGAGATGGGTATAGTTCATAGTGAGTATCAATAATTCGTTCCTTGCGTTTCTCTTCAATTAAATTTGACATAGGGTGATGGATTTTTTTTTGTCTTGAGACAAAAGAACATATCATTCATAGTGGATCAAAGTGAGGTTAAATACAGAACTATTGAATAAGATTTAACAAACATTTACTTGCTACTTTAAGAAAATATTTTATTGAGTAAGCTCTTAATCTTGATGCATTTCAAGATTATGATTATCTTGAGTAATGATTTGAAGTTAGATAAACTGATTAATTTTTCATAGAAGTTGTTCAATGGATGACATCTAGATTCATATGCATAGTCAAATTCACGATTGTCTATAAGTTGATTACAAAGAGCTTGCATCGTATTGCAGCTATAAAAAATAGAAGCTTTTGCGATATTTTGTCCGACATATGCGGAAATACGATAGAACGTCGATCTAATCTTCATACAAAACTAAATGGCGGATTTTTTCTTGAGGTATGTTTTCAAATATTTCACAAATTATGGACGAGAGTCATGGGCAATGACGTTTGATATGCTTCAAGACTACATATTCGAGTCAACATCAATGCCAAGAATGACAACCAGAGCGGATAGCAATATCTTGTCCATATGCATATGAAGAAGAGTTTGAAAGGAATTGGTTGCTTAGCAAATTGGATGATTGCTGATCTCGTTGGGAAACAACTTCTTGAATAATTCATGCTAGGCTGAATGATTGTATGTATGAAAGTTCATAAACGTTTGATGCATCGCTAAAACGAACAAAAATTTGAGTATTCACTTCTCATTTGAATTGAGTCAGATTTATCCGATGAGCTCTTCTCCAAAATGAATCTTGACTATGCCATGCTATGAGCAATCAATATGTAATCATACGTTAAGATTGTTGTTGAGATTAAAAATTCATCGATGATAAATTGTAAAAATGTTTGTATTTGTAGTCTTAAATGTCATTCAAGCAAAGTACGAATAAACGAAACACTCATATAACGTGGTTCACCCTGAAGGGCTAAGTCCATGATTGAAACACGCTAGAAGGTTTACGGACAATTGAATACACAATGCACACTCGAGTAGAAGCCTTGAAGTTATATTTATACCCAAAGCCAACGAAACATCTAACTATAATATCTATAGCTGGAGGTTACCCCTTAACTAGAGTTAACCTCAACATGTAGCTACAATATATATAATGAAGAGATTGAAGCAAATCGTTCTATAATACTAGGTTCAACTGAGCGCGCATAATGATTATAATTGGCAAGATGAATTTTTATATTTGACAAAGTTGTCAAGATTGAGTATTTGCAATGCTTGCATACTGTAATAGCAAACTTAAACTTGAGATTAGTCCGAAGCTCGCCAAAGTGATTATCACGAGTTACTTTTTTTTGAACAATTGAGCCATCAATCACTCTATCATTAGATTTGACCACCTGCAGCAACCCCAATCCCAATCCCATCACGAAGTCTACGAATTACAATAGCGCTTTGTGCTTGTATGTGTTTAAATTCAAAGGATGAGGTGAAAATTCAGTTGTGCCACACATTATGATGTAATTTCCGAACCAAAAATTGGCATACTCCGACTTCTCGATGCGCATGCAGCGTTGTTGCTACACATCATCATTTGTTCGCATTCCAAATATGGAGAGCGTAGTCAGTGCTCCCAATTTCAGTTGTACCGCACATTGTGTTGTCATTTTTGAACTAGAAATTGGATTGCTTTGCGTTCCGAAGTACTTCTTGTTTCCATATGTGAGTGCTCCAAAATTTCCGGGTTCTACGTTATTCCGTCGTCGTAAACGTGTTCAAAACTCTGAAGTTTGATTTCAAACGCATTCATACTTATATGTCATGTTTGACATTCATTATTTTGAAATGTATCTTATAACAATTTCTTAATGAAATAAAGTCAAACTCATATTTTTTGAAAATATACTATGATGATAATTTTGTGTTGTATTTCAATATATTGATTTTTAAAAATTACCAAAATTATATGAATATTTGTTTTCCAAAAATTGTAATATAATATTTATTATTAATAATAATTTCATATTTATGATATCCATACTGTACAATATAAAAAAATAATTTTTAAATAAAATTTTTTTCAATAAAAAAGAAAAAAAACACATCATTCAAACATATTCAATTTTTGTACATCAAAAATCATACTTCACTAAAAAATTTAATTCATTTCTATAGTTTCTATATAAAATATATTTTAATCATATAAATTATTATTATCATCAATCATTTTTAATATTTTTCATATGTTTCCATTTTTTGATTACAATATAACAATTATTTTATCAATTGAGTTTTATTCAAGTTTTTTTTATTAATTTTTCTCTATTTAAAAACTTAATTATAGAAAATAATATCAAATAAAGAAAAAAACACCAAATCAAATAAACATAAATTAAAAATTTCAAAATTGTAATTTATTCTCCAAATTTTTGTTTATCAGTGTGAAATGAAGTTCATATGGCAATTTTATTCATACCATCTATCATAGTCTAAACTTATCTCAATGGTGTTTTAAAATTTCAATAAAAATTTTATTATTATGCATTCATAATTGAGTTCAAATTTTCTGATTTTTTTTGTATCAAGCATGTTTCATCTCCATTTGAAACATGTACGTATAAAGAAAAAAAACCAAATCAAATAAACATAAATTAAAAAAAGTTCAAAATAGTAATTTATTCTCCAAAATTTTGTTTATAAGTGTGAAATGAAGTGCATATAGCAATTTTATTCAGGCTATCTATCATAGTTAAACTTATCTCAATGGTGTTTTAAAAATTTCAATAAAAATTTTATTATTATGCATTCATAATTGAGTTCAAATTTTCTGATTTTGTTTGTATCAAGCATGTTTCATCTCCATTTGAAACATGTAAGTATAAAGAAAAAAAACCAAATCAAATAAACATAAACTGAAAAAAAGTTCAAAATAGTAATTTATTCTCCAAAATTTTGTTTATCAGTGTGAAATGAAGTGCATATGGCAATTTTATTCATGCTATCTATCATAGTTAAACTTATCTTAATGATGTTTTTTAAATTTCAATAAAAATTTTATTATTATGCATTCATAATTGAGTTCAAATTTTCTGATTTTTTATCAAGCATGTTTCATCTACATATGATACAAAATATATAATTTGCATGTTGTTAGAAGATAATTTCTTTGAAATTACATAACAACTTGTTGTAAAAATTTGTTCATTGGTCCAACTTTGATTAGAAGTAATTAATCTATTGAAGAGTTTAGAGTATGTCTTCATGTCTCATCATGTTAAGTTCATGCATGATTATTCTAAGAGTATGGTATGTATATGTTGATGATATCTATTTTATGATATGAAGAAACTACCATATGTCCCATTAGTAACTGATCAACTTACTGCAATTCGTACAACTTTGGGAATGTCAAAGTTTGTGTATATACACGAAGTTCATGAACCGGATGGCTTCAAATGTGCCACTTCCAACTCTCATGTTGATAAATATTTTCAGCAATATAAAGATATGATAAAAAGAATTGTACAACATCCGCGGGACAAATGGAGGAATTTCGGGGAAATGATAACAATTCCAAATCTACAAGTGGACCCGCAGCCCAATTCTCAAGGACCTTCGAATCCGCTCTCAGTATGACTCGTCGGGATATCCATAATGTAAATGGTTTTCAGCCCTTATGCTCTAGTGGGGACCGAGACCATAGGGAACAAGCCTCGGGCCAAGGCCAGGGAGGCCAAGGATCCAACTACCCTCCACTGAGAAGTACCATAACGGTACAGGACCTGTCCTGTTCCCTTGTTCCCTCGGTCCCGTGGTCCCCGGTGCCTGCCTTTCCACTTCGAGAGCGTATTCCGGCTGTCGGAACTCGTGGTGGCGCCGACGTATTTTCACGGCGCGAGAAGAGGGAGGGTTTAAGATTCGAAGCGCAGGCACTTGTGGCGATTTTGGGATTCGCCTCAAATCCCTAAATTGTTAGGCGTAGTAGCATCGCGAGAGCCGATGGGGGTTTGAGGTGCATACGCTTGTCTTGTCTTGTGCGCGAGGATGCTTCATGGTTCCCGGATGTTTCGGTCTGTAAATCTAGGCCGGATTTAACTCTGACTTAGTGCGTGCTGGATTCCTCGAGGACAATTGATGGTTGCGGGTTCGAGCTGGTTTGGGTTGTTTGGGTTCGGTAAATTGGTGTCAGAGGTGAGGAGCCGGATCAGATCGGGATCGGGTTAAGTTGGAGTTGATGAAGAGGAATTGGTGGGTGATCTGAGTGGAGGGAGCACTGGGCAGGATGAAGAGGAGTTTGTGTCTGGCAAGACGCCTGCCTTCATGCGTGTGTTGGAATTCGAGGGATGTCATACCGTCGTCTTCAGCAATTTGCTCTGTTTCAGGTGGATTTTCCCTCCACCCTCTTTGTGTCTGCGGTTGTGAGGAAATTATGTTCACTCTGAATCTGCCTGCCTGGCGATCTTTCATCCTGGACGAACTGCCATATACTGCAATTGAATCCACGCATGATCTGTGCTGTTACGACGAATTGGACTCGTTGTCCGGAAATCTGGGCCTTTTGATGCAATTTAACCACTCTTTTAAGTGCAAGTGAGGAATTTGCATAGCGCACGACATGTCTCCCTTGATCCCATATCGAGCAACGTTGTACTCCGTCAGTCAAACCCCTGAACCCTGAACCTCACTTACGTCTGAATATATGAAATGAGTAAGAATTGAAAAACCCTGTTGATTGCCAGCCTATGTCGGTCTTCGGAAGATGGCAGAAGACCACTAACTTTCAAGGAATGGAGATGAATTCTCAGCAGGACAACCTTCGAGCTTTCCGAGTTCTTTGTCACCGTAGAGTTATCAATTGGAAGCAAATTCTTCTCGAGAATCACTACATTGGCTACCATCGGCTCTATTGAGACGCTGAGATGAATTGAGAACACATAGCAGATTCAAACTTGAATTTTGTTACATCGTTGATGACACTGTGTGTCCTCTTCCAGATCGTAATTGCGTCCCACTCGATAGATGTATATGAAGTTATTTATGCTCGTGTACGGAACTGGTCTTATGAGAGAAAAGAGCTGGTTTCATGGGAAGAGGAATTTGCACATTACATGTTCTGAAATGATTCAAGTGACTGATTTTTTGAACGAAAAAAAAGAAGAAGAGATTTTGTACCTTCAAAGCTTAAATACTGAGAGTTACTGTGTCCTTGAATCCAGCAACTGGAAACCTTCCAATTCCCAACTTCAAACGTAGACTCAGCGGAGAAAGATTGAGAGTCCAGCATGAGAATTCTGAAAAACGATGTTTACCCCTGGGAACCCGGGTTACAGCTGAAGAGAATCGTAACGCGCTGCTTTCAAATGCAAGTAAGTGAACGAGGCTCCCAACTGTACTTCCAAGTGTCTTGAGGACGATTATTGAATTCCAATTACAGATGACAAGATGCATTTTACACACATTGTGTCCGTCCCAGCTGAAGGTTATTCTTTCGTTCGCAGGTTCATTGGCAGCCGATGAGAGAAGAGAGCAGATTTTTATTTCTGACACAGAGCATCACCGAATAATTGTTGTAAATCAAGCCGGAAATATCCTAGACTGTGTAAGGGACTAATGACCCGGCTTTCTCCTTTTTATTCATCAAGATCACATGGGCTTTGTGTCAACCGCATGATTTGTAGATTTTGGCTGATACCATTTATTTGATTACTTGTGAGCGAGAGAGTTGATTACGAAACATTGCCCACCTTTCACTCTGTGGAGTTCATTGCAAGCTGGGATTATTCTTTGATCAGATGACAAATGGTGTACGCTCAGTGTCATGAACCTGTAAGTTTTAATTCTTCCTGTAGATTGGATCTTCTCCTGGTTTTGAGGATGGGACTTTTGAGAACGCTATGCTGTGTTGTCCATCGTCTACGGTCTACGATGAGCTCAATGACTGCCTTTACATTGCCGATTCCAAGGTAAACTGTCGAACTGGAAGTCATCTTGCGAGAAGCGTGACTTGAATTGGGTAATTTGTTTTGCTTCAACCCACAGAAAAATAATCTTTTAATCAATTTCGTGAAATGAGCGCCGTGGAGGCTTTTCCTGCACCTGCAATATCTAGGATACTTATGTTGCTTTGTACCATGCGCTTGAAATAATGGGAACATGAGAAGCAATTACAAAGTTTTGGAAGGAGGACGCTAATTACAGATGGTCTTAGATGTATTTTCAAGACTCTCCTTCGTAGATCCTAATGTAAGTCGCTGTTTAGGGAACAAGCAGAATAATGTCATTCGTAGGGCTGATCTGAGCAAGAGAACTGTAGATACTGTCGGTCGAAATATGGACGACAGTGAGAGTCCACTGTGGAGCAGAATCTTGAAGTGGATGCGAGGATTTGGATTTGTCTCGAACAAGAAACCCCAGCAGCAGACGGAAGAGATCACCGACGGAGCAAGAAACAAAACAACTTTGAGCAATCCTTGGCACCTGAATTTAGCGGTAAATGGGTCCCTTATAGTTGCAAGTCGTGGGTAAGTTGTGCAGGCTTGCAGAATTCACTTTAGTAGTTGCTTTCACTACACCAACATATACGTAGATATTGAGACCTGACAAGCTCGGTCGTAATGTTATCTATTGAAGTGCTTTCGCTCAGTTTGCAGTCCTGATGACTGTCTTATGTCCAGCTTTGAATCATCGTGGGTCCTTGACCCCATTACCGGAGAGTCGTCCAAAATCTCTTGCGAAGGTACTATTGCTCTGCAACCCATATTCCTGCGCTATACTGGCATGTTTGAAGAACGCACCGGAACATGCATGTTATCGTTACTGAAAACAAGTTGATCAGCTAGGGATTTTCTTGAATTGGTGGTCAGTCAGAACATAATGTGTATTACAAGAAGGGGGTAAAGTGCTCACACATTGTTGTTGACTGTTATGATATTAGGATCAGAAGCTGTTCATGAGGATTATGAGAAAAAGTTATTTGCTTCGAAAGAGAAGGCCGATACCTTTAATTTCATAAGAAAAAGTTCACTCACAGAAAGTACCTTAAGACCGTATTCCTCGACGGACATGGTTTCACTTGTTGCGAAAATACACCAAAACCTCTTTTTTTTAGAAACAGGTGCGGTTCTGGATAGTGAGAATTGTTTCCCTGATGACTTGTCATTCGTTGCGAACTTTAAAGCAGGGAGAGCATATGCATTCTGAAAATTCGGTGGAGATAAGAGTACTATTTGTTTACTGTTTGTTGCATTTGCTTATATATGCTTTCCATAGAAGAGAACAAATCAGATTCCTTATGAGTAGTATTATCTACAGAAGGTCACGTAGTCCGGAAAATGGACTTGCAGACAGGAAGCACAACGACTCTTAAGCTGTCGAACTTTGGCTGTTTGGGGTTTCCCTCTTGGTGGTTTATTCAACCTCTTAGCCTTCTAACCGCCGACAGGTATGTTGATCAGTTGCATGAATGTGAACTTAAGAGACTGGCAGTCTACTTGTTCCGCGGTGTTGCATTTAGCTGTGAAACTCAACTTTTCGTATGGTCCCTAAGGGAACCCAAGTAACTGTGGTCGAAAAGCTCAAAAATAATGCTTGAGATTTCATTACCTAGCATGAGGATTTCATAGTTTTTTGTATCCTGCACCAGGGATAATGTCTCAACTGCTCCATCAACATCTCAGGAAGACAACATTTTGTGTCATGAAATCCAGCTTCAACCAGGTGAATTGAGACAAAAACCTATGTGACTATTCAATTCTCAGTTTGGCCACTTTCATTCGCCTAGATGACTGATGCGAAGTCTCTGAAGAAGGGTAGCGCAGATGCTTTGCATCAATGCCTTGATGTGTGGTTGGTTATATGTTTGGAGTTCCTAGTACAAGCCTGTAGACGGCATTTTTGCAATACTGGATCTGTGTCAATTGCAACAGCGGCACTGGTCATGGCATACATTTAGTTTTGCTTGTACCTTACTTTCTATGTTCACATCCATGTCCAATCTTGTTGTTTATATTAACGGATCTAGTTGAGTGGGATAGTCAGCTATAGTTTTCGTTGATACCATCAAATTTTTGGTTCGTATACCGTTGGCTATATTTTATATTTTCAGTATCTGTTTTCCCTTGCCTCTTTTTGTCGCTAATAGATCAAAGTCCTTTCTCATGACTCCAGGTAGGTGCCTCGTCTGCATTGACCCAGTTCTTCCGGAGGGAATGGCCTTGGCAGCTCCCGTCGATGATAAAGCGGTCTTGAGGCAAGCTAGGGGCAGTGTAGTAGACTTAAGTATGTTCGGCGGACGACTCGTGTCACACAAGGTATGTCGTTTTATGTGCAGACCTTGGAATTTCGTAAACCGTTCTTGTATGTTTTTCACGTCGGCTGTGTGGTGGGGAGGAGCAAGTGTGGTGGTGGAGGGGCTCACGATGTTTACATGAAATACTCAACCAGCATATGTGGAAGTAGCAGTGTTAAGAAATAAGCTTCAAGGACGTCTGGTGTTTTAGTTCAGCTTGTCCATATGTATGTATATCAAGGATGATTCTTGGTTGTTTTGGTGGATAGGTACACCGTGGATCATGTTTGGAGTATACACAAAACATTTTATGATATCGATAAAACTTCCCGTACATTTCATCAACATGCCTGTGTTCTGCTCTCTGTGTAACGCCTGAGCGGTGTCCTGTCTTTAGTTTTCGGTTGTTTGGCTTGGTGAAGTGTCCTTACTGTTTCTATTTCGCGTTAGGAGCTGTCTATTGTTGAAGCGGAGTATGCTCTGTGAATAATTACGTGATCGTCGCGGAAAATTCATTCGTGCTGAAGGGCATGAAGCTCAAATCATGGCCACTTCCATACTCCATTCTTGGGTTGTAAACCCGTAAAATATCTATGAGTGCATATTTCAGTAGATCAAATAGCAAAATTGAAACTAATTGTTGTTTATTGTCCCGCTCGGTTGTGATGTAGATTTCTGGTGCCCAACAATGGGTCGATGATTTCGAGGATTTAGAAGCTGAAGACGAGAGTTTTGATGAGCTGGTTGGACCCCTGAAATCTGAATATGGGTTACCTCTTTATACGTTCATCGATGCCAGCCTCGGTTCTGGAGAGGTAGGCTGGTCGTTGGGTTTCTTAATCTCGATACACAATTGGGGCAGTCACTCCAGAAATTGTAAATCCATGAAGAAAGCTTTTGGACCTTAAAACACACTTCCAATCTAAACGATTATGTAGGACTCTCTTGTATAAGGCCGCCCCAGGCTTGATTCCTCCATGCCTTCTCCATACCTGCCGTTCTCTGCCTTGCAGCCTTCAGACGCATCCAGGTGATGCAGACTGAAACCCTAAGTAGTGCAGTTTTAATCAGAAACCTAGCAAGTGATGAAGCCGGCGGGTTGTTGGTAATTTAAAGTGATGCTTGCCACATAGCTGAATGGTCACCGGCTATAATGCATCTATCGTGAAAAATGAAACCGCCTTTACTGCTTCCTAGTCTTGCTAGCCATCCTCCACCCTCTGTATGGCCGAGGAATGTAAAATAGTGAGACACTCTGCTCACTCTGGGTTTGCATTCATGTTGTTCTATGCTTCTGGCTTACTATCGGTGCGCCCCGTCAAGACTGTCCAGACTTTAGTGTTCGGTTCTGCTTCGCATCCCTTTTCTCTTTTAAAGTGCATGATTCAGTTGTATGCTTGTGTCTAGCCATTCAGCGCTGATCATCTCCTACACACCTAGTTTCTAGAATCTGCTCTGCACTCTCATATACAGTGATCTGCGTATCTAAAAGAACGAAAGCGTACGTTCTCCTGCAGGTGCAAGTGGATGCGGTGCTTTATTTAAAACCTTCGGGTTCAGGGAGCACTAAGGTGGTTTCGAGAACGGATCCAATCAAAACCAGTTCAACGGAGACACACACTATGCACAGTTTTGACGCTGCGGATAATGACTATTATGTGTGTCTAAGACATCTGCATGTCCGTGTGAGGATTGAGGTAACAACAACGGCTTCGAGTGAGCGGACGAATCTCATAAGTGTACAGGTGTGATTGAGAAGATGTTTCGAGGGTAGTAAGTGGTGCGCATCTGCTTTCTATGTGAAGGTTCTTCAACTGCCCCGACAGAGTTTGAGCAGCCCCAGCAGAGTTCCCTGGTTTGAGTGATTGAGAGTCCAGGGGCTTGAAATCCCTCTCCTCTGAGTTACGCAAGCAGCCCACTGCTCATGAGGGAAATGTGAATTGTATCCTTCCCCTGTCTCGGTTTCCAGCATCTGCTCCAAAACTCCACCTGGGTGTCAAGAAGCAAGTCTCAGGAGACACTGAGGAGACGATTTTTGACTCAAGGCCACTAATATACGCTAATATCTCGTTGAGTCGGAAGGACCTGGAGAGTCAATGCATTGCATGCCAGGAACGCAGAAGTTGATTGTTAGTTTCCCCTCAGCAGATTTGCTCAGGAGTAGCTTTAGGTGAGTCCTCGGTGGGATGGTTTCATGCCCACACGTCTGCACGCCCATGAAAGTCATCAAAGGTCTCAAGGTGTTCCCTCTCGCACCATTATGCAGACGGAACTAAGAATTGTTGAATATGCATTTATGAGCTTCGAGGAACCACGCATGCATGCATGCCACCATTGCCATGACTACCCAGGGCTTCTTTCAATCATTGGACATGAGGTTACGAGTTGCAAGTCTCTTTCTCACGTGACTGCCAAGCTGGTGAATTTTACAATGTGCTATCACTGCTCTGCTAGACAGTAACTGTAACTCATGACGGATGAAGGCATGCACGCACTCACGTGCTTCGACAGTCCGTGGCTCCGGCTGCCGAACCGGTGCCAGCAACCGCATTTCGAGAGCCACAGGAAGAAACTACAACGCTGTCGTGAAATCCCAAACATGTCGAACTTTTGGTATCTCTCCGGTGCTCATTGCCAGGAACCTGTCGTTGAACAATGGCTATCTCTTATAGAATTATCTCCTAAAGAGGCAATCGATGGGCCATTAAGTTAAAGGTTACGTTCATCATCATTGGCTTTCATATGAGTGATGTAAGGCACTGGAAAGCCGCAGTTGCAGTCTACATGTTGCCTTTCGAATTGCGCGAAGATGGAATGTTCACTTGGGGGCTATCTCGACGCTGCAAGTAATCACTTCGCTGGCCCGAGGGGGAGCACGTGGAGCAAGTGGATACTTCTCAAGGTCGGAGTAAAGCACGTACAACCGAGGCGCGTGCGAAGGCCAGTGAGATCCTTTTAGCGCACGTAGCGGCGTGCTCGCTGCCGATGCCCCACTTTCGATTCTGAGCACGGGCACGCACAAATATTGACCAATGCATAGTCGCCTGCAACGCGAGTTAGTGAAATTGTTGGAGGAGGAAGAGCACGAGACGAGAGAACGAATTGAGGGAGGAGGGATGGATTAAGCGACACCTCATTTTCAGCGGAAGCTCTTGTTTGATGCGATCGTATTGACAAGGAAAGTAGAGGATTTAGAGGCAGGTGTCCACCTCTTCTGCGATTAAGTTAGCAAGTGGGGATCGTACGACAATGCAGGCTGAGTATCCGGGTGAGGAAAGGCAGAGAGTTGGGGAGAGGGAAGGAGGGAGGGAGGCAGAGAGATCAAACAGCGTCAGCTACTGCGGCTGGAATCCGAGCAAGAGCTAGTTTTACGAAAAGCTTTGGGCCTAGGGACAGGCTTTGCTGGGCGGGTGAATCTACAGGCTGCGCTGGCGCAACTTGGCGATGTGAAGCTTTGCGGGCAGTTGTCGTCCAAAGCGAAGCGAGTACTCTTACGACGAGACAATCAGAGACTCAGACCTCTGCAGGAAGGAGGAGTAGCCGGACGAGGACGAGGACGAGAAATCGAAATCAGGGTCTAGGTCACAGCGCCACGGCCCTCACGCTCTGTCTGCCATGAAGAGAGGCAATTCCGAACAGCAGGTGCAGTGTTCCTGCTTTCGCAAGTGAATGCAGGAATTCTGAGATTTGCGCGGGGGCACGGGCACGCACGAGCCCGACTCGAGACAAGACACACCGCGGGCCTCGAGGAGGAGGAGGACGAGGAGAAGGAGGAGCAACTTGAGCTGGAGCTGGCCGAGGAGCAGACGCAGAAACGCTCGAGGCTGAGGGGCACAGGGGGCAGGGCCGGGGGAGAGATGCAGGGGAGCCAGGGGAGGGCGGGTGCAGGAGGTGGTAGCGGTAGTGGTAGTGGTAGTGGAGGGGGCAGTGGCAGCGGCAGGCATGGGGGCTACCCTGGACGAGCAAATGGGGTGGCAAACAACAATCTTGGGGCTGGGGCAGGGCTTGCATACGGGGGAATGCCCGGCGGGTACGTTTTCAACAATTGGGTCGGCTACGGGAATTACCAAATGCCGAGCCTGATGCCAATGCCGCCCGTCGTGCCGCGCAGCTACGGGCGCGGATCTGCGTCCCACTCCTTCGTGCCCCTGGGCGTGCAAGGAGCAGGCATTCTGAAGCGCCCCTCGGGCCCTCCGCAAGGCCAATCGATGCACGGTCGCTCTAATCGCAATCGAGGTCACAATGGGCGATCGTGGGGTAGCCGCGACCGCGACCGCGACCGTAAGAATTTGACCAAAGAAGCTTTAGACGCAGACCTCGATGAGTATCGGATGAAAGACAAAAAGTTTGGCGGTCAGTCTCTGGATGCCGAGCTCGATGAATACTGGAAGAAAAAAGAGGACAGCGACTTGCTTCCCGAGGAGGATGAGCTCAAGGATTCGGGCGAAGGTGGCGCAGACATCGGGGCTAAAGATGGCAAGGTGCCTGCCGGAGGCACTACTAGTTCTCGTCACAGCCATGGTGATAAGCAGTCTGCGGACGGGAGCAAATCCAAGTCTCCGTCCAAGGACGCTTAAGAGGAGAAGTGCTTTGGGATGGAACGATGGCCATGCGTCGATGGTTTTAAGTTTTTTTTCCGCGTGAAAAGCCATACCGACGGATCTCGATGCTTTGGAGCTTCTCTTGCAGGTCTGGACTGACGATGGAAGGCCCACGAGTTTGATGATGTAGCCACGGCACAGGCCTTTTCGGCGATTTCTGATTCTCCAAGGCTGTGGTGTATGTCAATGACATGTAGCTTAGATGGTTAGGTCAGAGAGCCACTGGTTTTGTAGAATTAGTCCTAGTCTTGTGGCCACCTGCTGCCAGTGTTGTACATTACTTCCCAGAAAAAATTGGATTGACATGTTTTAGCTGGCATTTTGTATGATAAAGATTTATCACAAGGTGAATCGATTCCTTCATTCTTCGTGATGTGTTCAGTTTTCTCTCTTGCTCTTTCTGTTGTATGCTGACATCAAAGTTTTTTTTGGTCTCTTCCAGCTGTCTCAAGCTCGCAGCATCTTTTTGCTGTTCATCTAATGTCGATCGATCTCTGTATCTTGATCAGGGCCACGGATTCATCATTCTGCCATTCAGTGAGCAGGCACCCGTCGATTGAAACGGAGGGTCCTTCGGATCTGTGTTAGGGTCAGCGTTGGTCTTTTCATGCAATGGTTCGGTGCTAGCCAGCAGAACGATTGATTTGTCCTCCACTCTGGAAAAAGCTCAGGCATGAGGACCACTGTTCGAAAGCCGAGTTGTAGTCACTTGGATGCTCCGATTCAAGTCAGAGTGGTGGCGGTAGTGCCTCCATACTCACTTCTGTACTGAGTTTGAAGGATCCTGAACTTGGGCTCATTAGTTCATATTGCACGTAAAACATCAGGGATTGGCGTAAACCCTGTGGCAAATGGAAACAAAATTCTCTGGCATACACGACGAAGCAGTGAGGATTGGTGTTATAATTTTCGTCCTATTATCCTGTCTCAGGCGACTTCTTATCTTTTATAATCCATCTCCTCATGACTTTCTTATGCATAATTTTGGAATGATAATTTTGGACTCAAGAGAAGATTCTAGTGTTTCCCACTAGAACCGATACAAACGAAAGGGGCACACATCTTTCTGTATTGTGCTCAGATTACGGTTCTACTCGTTCGCACGGATCTTCCCCATGGATCACTAATCGACTCAGTTAGTGCTCTCGAGTCACTTAATTTAAGTATGTATAAGAACGTCCTGTAGAGAGCGATAAATTTCACTGCCTGCCCCGAAGTATCAATAGGTAGGAATGTACAGACTTCAAACCCTACCCTTCATTGTCGGTGAATGGGCGCATCAGAAACTGTACACTCCAAAATGTGAACATCGTGGCAACTTTCCCTCTGATGTTTTGGGTTTTTGGCTGTGTCTCAGTGTCGGAGGGACCAGAAGATGAGGCAAGTTACCTCCTTTTAGACAACACAGGTTCTTGTCAATTACTGTTGGTTGAGGTTACCGGGACATTTTGTTCTGGAGTGAGTAAAGTGTAGGCATAAGTCGAACGACATTCGTTCACTTCTTTCAACCAAAGTACCATTCGATTACAAAGCCGAACACATCAGAATCAAGGATCTACTACTTCAAAGAGATGGGCACGAGTTTGACCTGAGCGTTAGTCAGATTTTGTGTAATATCTCTACTTATCGTAAACTCATCCAGATTAGTGATGTGGTGTATAATTTCAACTTTCCCTGTACCGACGCATTGCATCGATCCGTTGAAACAAGCTTGTCGAGCCTCGATTTAAGCTCATGTAAATAACTTGCCATGGTTGGAGCATCGTGGAGTCACAGTGGCACATGCGCTTTTTTCCGGCCTCAGTCTATTCCAGTACACCTGATTCAGTAAATGCCAGTTGTAGGCATCTCAGTGGCGTTGATGATGCCATCGTCGAGGACTCGGGGCTTTCAACATCTTCACTGGTGGAAATCGATATTCTGGAGCGAGGAAATGGAACGATGTGGGCAGGAAATGTACCTTCCAGATGTTGTTCATCGAGCCGTATCAGAGCAGCAAAGATAGACGTGACTGTCTGAAAGAGCACTTTCACCGACTGGTTTGCATGTTCCAGTTGCAAACAAGCTTTTCGGTCCATAACATGTTTTGCTCCTCGATTCAGAACTCTGCTTGAATCGTTTCACGACTTCTGGCTGTCAGTGCGCATATTGATACCTCACGTAGTCTACAAGATGTAAACCTTTGAGCACCACCTCCAGCTCCAGCTCCAGCCCTGTAATTTGGGACTGGTGAACGAGAGTGATCGATTTACAAAGATGGATCTTGCCGTATCCGAAACAAGCTGTTGAACCTACATCCCCTTACAGCAAAACCTGCTTCACTGTAAGCAAGATTGATCCACGCATCTCAGCATGAGTACAAGTCTGCTCGAAGGGGAAGATCAGGATGAAGATAAAATCTGTAAGAACAGTTGGCAGCTGGCCTCGGCTGTTGCAGAGCTCAAGACCATGACGCATTCCATAAGCGTGAAGAAGAACAGTGTCCGTTCTGATCACATCATGGCAGCAAATCTATCCGCCACCAGATCTGCTGTGACCAGCTTCGGACTGTTACGACACAGGGAGAAGGAACCTTTGGCTCTGATCTGATCCAGCAGCAGATGATCCACACGAGCACCCAGTCTGAGACCAGATAGACCACCGACTTGCTTCGGACTGCTCGTCCGATTACGTACATTGACATGACCCACAAATCTCCCGCAGAACAGTTCCCACAGAACACTGCTGAGACTCGGACATAAGGTCCTGTTGTCGTGCACAGCATGCGGCCTGCGGCTGGGTATGTATATACCCCTCCAACCTCTTTTCTCGGCCTTAAAGCAGCTGGAACACCGGAATTGGACCAGGTGAAGGAAGACCAAAACAAGCATGCTACAGGGTAGAGCTAGACTTCAATCCTCGGAGAATCTGGGAACAGAATGGATTTGAGTCCAGTCGATCCATCCACCTCATCCACTTGACTGCTCGTATCATAGAAATAAAATTATTTTAGAGCCAAATGAGATAACCCTCGACCAAATCTCATTTACACCTGATTTATGTGGTGAAATCACTATTCCCAAAGACATGACAGAAGATTGAACAACCGACTCTAAAGCGGAATCTAGCTTTAGGAAGAGGCACGAAGTTTGCCCTGAGCTGCTCCTTCTGCATTTAAACACTCAATGCCCGTCGAGACTACCAAAAAATCGGCACTGGAGGACACACAGAACTTTTGTTCAATGTTGAGTGGCCGGAAAACTTTGCAAGATTTCCCTTCTCACACTCAAATCGGGTCTTCGATTTTCATATCCACTTCCGATGTTGTCTTCATCAACATAAGCCTGGAAGGTAGACACTCATTAGCAACCTAAACCGATTTTTACTGCAAGAGTGCCTCCCACAAACTGAACATACGGACGCGAATTCACATCTGCAGCGTTACAGTCGAATAAAAAACAGAACACGCGATCTACGGACACAGCTTGAGAAGAAAACATTTTTGACAACTTCAGTCACAGAGCTCAGAGTTCCATGGCCCACTCTTGCCAAACAAGACGGTCATGGTCATACGGGTCAGACATCGGCAGAAACCCCGTGTGTCCACGGTGGGTTTTGCCATGGCCTTTCAGGAAGTCCGGGTTCCCTTGAAATGCTTTTAAAATTGGCAATGACATCTCTGTTCGTCTTCTCATGCTGAGAGATGTCAGTGCCAAATTTAAGAAAAATTTCAGGGGAGGGAGGCCACAGCTGCCGACATCTCAGTGTTACACCAACCCTGCCCTCTATTTCTCTCTCTCCGACTTCAAAGAACTCGCCGCCTTGAAAGTCTGCACAAATCCTCCAAATCTCTACATGACACAGATCTCAAATCGAACCCCGCCAGGGCACAGAGCGAAGGCGGGCCGAGAACAATGAGCATCGACCTCCCGGTGCGCAACCGGGAGGTCGCGCACGGACGATCATACCCGAGACTCTCGTCCCATCTCTTCTCTCTGAGCCCAGCCACGGCTCACGAATCACGAAGCCTAAGCTCTCGGCACTGACTGATCACAGACCCGGAGCTCGGAGATGAAGTCTGGCGTCCATCCATCCTCTTGTGGGCTTTCCTTCGAGCTCTGTGGCGCTCACACGCAACCCCGACGACAGGTCGGGCTCACGGAATTGCTGTGATGTTGATCGAGGCGCTCGTGGCCCCTCGAAAGGCATGGCGACTGGGTCTTATTCAGTCCCTGGAAAGTAGCCCCTGTCCTCTCATGGCTTCGACAATGAAATGCCTTCTGTCCACGGCATCATCATGTCGTTTTTGGTCATTTCCCCATTGACAGTGACGTCTTTCGATCAAAGGCTTTGAACTTTACGCATCGTCGAGGGTTTTGGTTCCACCATTGCTTGAAGGATCGATACACAATTCGACGAGGCTTATTCCGAGCTGGTTATAAACAGGCATGACGTAAGGTCAGGGGAGAATTTGGTCTTGGAATGATAATGTCTGGTCCAGGAGTTGATTTATCAATTACACTAGATTGCATTTGATGGTTAGACAAATAGTCACATTTTCATTTTACTTTTGATATTATTAGTATCGAAATGGAACACATACATAAGGACTGATCTTAATTTCATATCCCATTGTATTAGTGTATTTTACATGTATATACATATAGAACTTCTAAAGTAGCTGAACAAACAAGTTATCTATGGATATATATATTATTTGTTTGTTCAGCTAGTTTAGAACTTATTCAAATGTACAAAGATCCAAGATAAGACGAACAGCCACTCTCAAGTGTCTCTAAGTTTGTGCTTGTTCATCACAAATGGTTCAGTCCTACGCATTCCCAGAATCGAATCCCGTGTGATCCCACTTACCAATGGCATTCATAGAGCTCAAGCCTTCTTGTCGAAAGAGCTACAGATCGAATTTCAAGAGCTCCCTTTTTACTCACTTTCGACAAACCAAGGGGGGGCTGAAGCTTTCATGGGATTCGAGCTTTCATGGGAAGCTTGAAGTTTACTCCTAGACTAACAAAGTCCAATGTTCACGGTAGAAATAAGATCTGCACCTTTCCGACAGCAATCCAATTCACGCACGATTCGTGTATGCAGGCCCCATCCAGTTACTCCAGTAGGACCTTTCTCCGCCAAACGGTGGAAATACACCTCTGAATTTGGGCTCGTAGTGTGGATGGCGATGTATCTCCCATTCAATCAATCAATGATAAGTCATGCAAATGACTAATAATTACTCTGGTCTAAGTAATACTGTGCTGATTCCATCTGATGCTAAAACTGAACTCTCGTGGCGGATTTACAACAAAGGCGCAGTTCCATTTCAGCTGAATACTTGACCTTGAGTCCATACATTTTCCATATGCTGGCCCGTCTCAACGAAAGGTTGTCAAAAGCTTTACACTCTTCCTGCGAAAGAGCCCGACAAAAGTCACTTTAGCAATTCTACTTCAGAAACTGTTCTTGGATCCTCGTGAGCTCGGTCGTTGGGTTTGCTGCTTCATGATTTGCCTGCGGTAGATTACCAGCTAATCTCGCACTCCTCCTGCTCGGAGAGCTTAGAATGTAGTAAGAAGTTTCTTTTGATGCTGTTCCCCAGCGATTGTTAGTCAGTTGTACCAGCGAGCGCAATGCTGGGAGCCACCACCATCCCCAGCGGCAGGGCAGCATGAAGTGAGCTGCGGCCAGCCTTTCATTTGAGCTGGCCCTACACGAATCGCTTTCTTGAGAGAATCCAGCTCGAAGTCAATGTCCTCGCTTCTTCTCCCTCCCTTTCGACCAACCTCCGCTGCCCTGCCCTGCCCTCTTTTACCTCAGTCGGTAACCCCTTTGTCGTTAAGATGGTTACCATAGGATCTTTTCTCAGAAGCCATGCTCGAAGTGGCGAGCATGTACTTACTCAACGCCAAATTCATCTAACGACAATCGGTAGATCAAATTCCTCCAACACTTGTCGCTGTACGATGAGAATGAAGGACTGCCTCATGACACAAAGATAGCCATTCGTTGCTTTCTGCAAACTTAGAATTGCCTCCGACGTTTTAAACAGCCAATGTAGCAGTCAGCTATCTTACGAGTGGAATTTGCTGCGGGGATCTTCGAAGAGGTTGTACATGCCATGCCATGCCAATAAGCACATGTTTGTTACGAGAATTGTGGGTGTGTTTTAACATCCACGAGGAGGTTGTGGCAGAACACTTTGTGGATTGTCTCGCAGTCCACCAGCACTTTGATGATGCAAAAGAACGAGAGATACGCGAGGCAGCGTGTCTTCATAGAATCCACCTTAAGCATTATTGACGTCCATTTCATTTTTCTTCTGTTTGATTGATTGAGTGACCGAGAATGGCCTCGAAGCACAGAAAGAAAGGGACTAGCTCACAACTGCTTTTCATGACGCTGCAGGATCTTGTGGGGCCTTCCTTTTGTCCGAGCCCCAATCAGTCCATGGCCAACTTGTGAACCGCAAAGTTGTGGTCGAATTGTGCAATTCGATACCTCTGAAGACTAGACTAGACATGCACACAAAGCACTGTAATCTGCTGAACCTTTTGACGAGGTCCATCAGCACACTACAGGTTATTATATAATTATATGGTGATGATGCTCGGATACATTTTTAATTTACGAATGAATAGTCTCGGACATGCCGGAGAACAAAGTTCAAACTCTTTGAGCAGGTCCATGCATTTGTTGAGGTGCGATTCTGATGGGGCCACATGCTAATTGCATGATTTGTAAAAAGCCCAACAAGGAGATGCCTGCCCAGTAACCCTCAATTTGGCCCCATGTTACATGTACTACGGTCGGAGAATCCGAGAATTTTCAGCCATAGCTGCGGAATGAATGCCGAGACCAAAGCTGCAGAACAAGGGAGCGGATAAGTCGTAGAGCAAAGTGATTCCATGGAGAAGCGGAACAGGACAGGAATAGAAAAACCGAACGCTCACTAAACTAAATTCTGATACAAAATGGACTCATCCACGCGAAGAGCAAGGGGACAGTTGGCGGGAATGACGAGACCTTCATCAGCTCAATAATAGAAAGGATCTAGAATCGAAACGGAAGCGTTTGGTAGAAAGAAAGCCCCAACTGAACAACTCGGTTTGCGTTATTTCTGCCCATGACACGCTCGATTCTTGCGTGATGCAAACCGAATCACGACCTCCAAGTGCATCTTATTGAATGCTCTCATGAAACCCTTCAGCTCATCATTTCATTTACTGCCCTCTGAGAATCTGCAAGGAAAGCCTCCGCAAGTCACTTTCCTTCTTTCCCTCCCTCGGTTGGTAACGAAGCTGATGCCTCCAGTTCGGCGGAACAGAAATCACTGGACCAGATTAGGCACCAGATTTGTCCTCGAGCACAATCCACATTCTCTTCAAATGCTTAGATATTATGCCGAGGTCTACGAGCAGGGATAGAGTGAAATTCCTTGTGAATTTGCTATTCAAATTATATGCATAATCGATTTCAGAGTACTCAATATTCTTCCAACGAAGTATTCAATGGTATTCTATTTTTATTTCATTTCATTGTATGAAGCGTTATTTGTTTAATATTTTAGACATGGAACTAGTTAATTCTGGCTATATAAGAATGATTTCATTAAATGTTGCTATTCTATTTTAGGACTTCATTGACGGACAAATCTCACTCTTGATCTACGCACTTAGATAATTTTAGGGGCAGATTGACATATCTTTCGTCAAAATGCTAGTGGTGGCTAACCTAGTGTATCTATGTGGTTTCTACTCTATGACATTAGATGGAGAAATATCATTTTGTTTGGCTATAATCCTTAGCCCTCACATGGAATAATTTTCAAAGTTATTTCTAAATACAAGCATGTTAATGTTCTAGAGTAGAGTAGTTTCCCACTTAAGTACGCACGTTGTGTGGTTACTCACCTCGTAAGTGAGTACTTAACATCTTCATTTTCACATTCATTGCGTATTGTTTCAATGTTGAAGAAAGTGACCACCAAATGTCTGAATGAAATCCAACATTACGAGATCATTTCAAAAATTGAGAAAGAATAATCCCCAAGCAAACGCACTCTAGCATGTGAGTATGAAATTAGTAAAGGCGCTATACGAAAGGTATGGAAAAAAGGGAATTTCATTCTCAAAAATCTGCTATACTCTTCGAAAAAGCAAAGCTAAATACTGTAAAAGCTTCATTTGGAAGATTTTCCAAACTTGAAAATATAGTGTAGATCTGGATTAACAGCATGTGTCGTGTCAAGCTTCATGTGCCGCCATCTCTCGCCATTACAATAGCAAAAGGTATGGCTTCTACGCTATGTACTTCCAATTCAGATTGTAAAGCTTCATGGTAGTGGCTTGATGATGGCTAGCGTTTTCAGTACACTTCGAGGTCTACAGAAAATGCTCATTCATGGAGGAGGTGCTGAGGTTGACAAGGATGATCCATGATTACTATCAACCTTAGAAGAATTATCGCTCATCATCGTTTATTACAACCTTGGAAATGTCTTCAACATGAACGAGATTGTAATGTTTTTTCGTATGCTTACCATATATCCTATTCTTATGCCGAACAAAGACATTTCAAGCAAGAGAGACAAAAAGAAATCGGAAGATTGTGTTTCTTTGATGTTTTGTGCCAACACATCTCAAATATATAAAATTTCTTGCGTAATGATTGGAATGTCAAAAGATTCAGCATATATCAAAGATCAACCATGGCCAATTTCTTATTTCAATCAAGCGAAAACCACTTTGGACGTGAAAACCTCTTGGAGATGATTCAACGAGATCTCTGTTCCAAAAATAGAAAAAAAGAATTAGACGTGCAATTCTCTTGTTGATAGATAATGCGCCATGACACTTTGATGTCTTTCACGTGACAACATTAGTGTAGTATTTTTTCCTCCAAATTGGACCTACTAGAAACAACCTTGTGATATAGCAAGCATCGCTGTTTTCAAGAAACGATACAAATATTTGTATCTCAAGATAATCTTTGACTTCTACAACTAGATGAGGAGTTGAAACAACGGCAAAGAAAATTTGAAAAACCACTACGACGTGATGTATCATGAATTTTTTATGGAAATCCAACGCACATGCTGGATGTTGCAAGGTATGTAAAAGAAGAATGGTATATTTTTTTGTCAAGGTCTATAAAGAGTGCCATCTGTAGAGCAGAGCTCAAGAATTTGGAATCGGATGCAGAGACTTAGGGCAAAATTATTGTGATTGTTGCTGAGTTAGTCCAAATCATCAAAAACTTAATGTTGTCGATCGACCAATCAGATTTGGAAGAATTTATTCACATTGATAATAAAAGGAATGAAGAATATGTAGTAGCAATTCTGGAAAATGTCAAAGAATTGTTGGATTCAATGACGATTAATGAAACAAGTCTTGATGAAGACAACAATATTAATTTACAAAAATAATTGTGGAATCACAATATAAAGTTGAGTTTCATGGATTTGATACTTTGTATAAGTTCAAATAGAAGTAGAAGATTCATTTGACGATATCACAAATCGTTTGAAAAATTCCAAGATAAGGTACTCAACTCTAGACGGAAAATAAAACTAAAACGATTCACTATATGTTAGATTGAAATCCTTAAAAATGTTGATCACTAAAATTTTTAAAATAAAATGACTATTTAATTGGGATGCGTAGTTAAGTGGAAAGCTATTGTATATACAGAGTGCTTGAATCACAAGAAGGAATTTCTAAGTTGAGTAATCACTAAGAGTGCTCAAGCTGCATAGTCTAATCATGAGTAGATTCTCAACGAAGAAATTACATAACAGATGTAGAAGAAGAGTCTATGAGAGAAAGGCGTATATAACATGTATGTTGAACTCAACAATTTTGATGTCTATTTTGAAGCTTAAGATAGTTCTTGTTATAAGATGGTTGTATGAATTCTTCTTGTCATACAATTTCTTTCCTTACGGGTCTTCACATCTTAGAAAATACAGCAAAGCACATGAGAAATTCCCCTTTACCCAAAATCAACATCACATTTTTTTGCGTGAAACTCAGACGGAGTTGTTAACATATTATTATGCATCGACTTTAAAATTAGTGTTGAAGGCTTGTTGTTCTTTTTTGGCGACTGTTTCTCGTTCGTTGAGTTGAGCGCATTTTCTGTTAGGAGTGCAGAAGCAAAGAAATACACTAAATTGATTTGAAAGTCAGAGCCCAGGACGTAACCCCTAATGCTTGCGGAACACATCAACCTAAACCGCCCCTTCACGTGGTTCTTCTAGTGCAGCGGGCCTGTGCCATAAACCAGAAGGCGGAATCGGAATCCGAATCTGGGTGACTCGGAGGGAGAATGTTCTTATGACAGAGGAATGTCACAAACAGCCATGTTTCGTCGCGCTCAAGCAAAAATCATTCAGCATGGAAAGCTCTGAGCTGTGCGCCTCGATTGGCCAACAGAAGACGATCCCGAATCGAGGGTTTACCGAGCTGAAATAGGCCCCGACCAGAGAGACCGCATGTCCAACTTTTAGCACGTAGTGGCAGCCTCAGTTCTCCCCCAGCCCCTGCCCCCACCACTGTAATAAGTGGTTGCTGCCCCACCCCCCCGACCAATCGCCATCGTCCACGCTGTCGATCGCCCCACGGTGCCAGGCTGGTCCCATGTATGGCCTGCCTCGCCGACACGGCATCGATTCACCCCGCACCGTTCACCCGGCCAGCAGTTTGTTCCACGGCGGGACTCGCTGCTCCGATTCCGGTCACCTGTTCCAGCCGCTATCTTCTCCGCCAAATGTTTGGCGGGCGCTCGGGTTAGAATGTCGGGCCGGGTGGGGTCAGTCTACATTCCGTACCTCGGGTCTTCCACCCCCAGAGGCGAAAATTGCGGGTGAGAATCGCCGGGCCAAGGGGCCGCGAATTGTTGTCCGACATGGTTCTAGTAAGAAGGAAGGCTCCTTGTTCGGCGGCACTGGGCTACTACAGTTGAGACCCCCAGCGTCAACCCTCGGTTCGAAGGAGTTGGAGTACGGTTAGAAGGCCCGCTCGCATGGTTTCAAAATGCCGGCCGGTAAGGGAATATGCGAGGTATAACCCACTCCGTCCGAGAATAGCTCTCGCCTGCATCCGGGGCGAAGTAGTAGTACCCGGCGGTCCTTGACCGACTGATAAGTTCTCAGAGCTGCACCACGAGGCGGAAACCTTGCCCAGACTGTGTCCACGAAGCCGGTACCTGACAAATAGAACCAGCGTTGAGTGACCTGCTATGAGAGGTAATCCTATGAGAGCTCCTCTCGCTGGCGTTCAAACTCACTCGCTACGTGGTCATTTGTTCGTTGTTTCTACTCTACGGAGTACAGTATTTCCACTGACGGATGCTCGTAGGCCAAGCTACTACAAGCGGCGAGAGAGTCTCCCGAGAGTAACCTAACTCGACCTTGATGGGTCGGACTCGAGTGACCTGACGTTAACTGTAACGAGCCCGTCATCATCGACGGTTAGCAACTCATCATCGAGACTACCGAATCTGCGACGGAACGAGATTCGGTCGAGAATGCACGCGCGCGTTGCCGACGTGGAGGGATCGACGGTCGGCGGGTCACTCAGAGTGCGAGGAGGCGTCGAGATGGCATCTTCCGCGCGGGGAGACAGAAGTGCAAGTCAACTCAACCCAAACCCAACCGGGGTCGCTGTCGCGGTTGACGCAACGGAAGTACGGATCGGTGGTTCTGGTGGGGGCTGGGCAGGGACAGGGGCAGGGAGTGGAGTGGCGATGGGCCGTGGCCGGTGGCCGGTGACCGCACGCCCTTGGCGAGAGCGAATTATTGTTGGGCCGAAGCTCAGGAAAAGCTCGCTGGCTGGGCCGGGGGAGGGGATCGATCAGCAAAAGCATTGCTTGCTTTTCATGGCGATTCGCGCTGGCTTCGCGGGCATGGACGTAAAGAGGAGGAGGCCTATTTCCGCATGAGGGAGCTGCAGCAGCAGCTGCTGCTGCCTGGCTGCTTCTCGGGGGCACCTCGGCATTGATTGATTGAGTCCATGCCTGCTGGCCATCCGAGGTGAATGAATGGATGACTGAATGAAAGACGAAGTGGAGGGCTGGAAGGGAGCCATGACCTGGGGCAAAGAAACGAACGCCAGTGCGTGAGGTAGTGATGATAGAGAAGAAGCGTGCTCTTGGTGCTGCATGTCAACCCACTCTGACCTGCTATAACTGGACCGATTGACATTTACTTTCCGCCCCCCCAGAATTTCCTTTTGTTTATCAATTTAGTCATCTCGTCTTTTCACTGTTGTGTCGTTGTACTCTTTCGGGAGTTGTCGTCTCTGCTGTGCTGTGCTGCCCCGCCCCTGGCCCTGCCCCGGCCCCAGACCTCTCCCCCCCCCCTCACTCGTCTTTCCTTTTCTGAGGAGGGAGTGGTGAACTACGACGCTGCTGCTGCTCCTGAGTACTTGCTCGCACTAGTTCGCCTCTCAAGGCCTCATTCATTCGCTCGCCTGCCTGAGGCGTGGCCTGGCATTCTGTCAGCCCAGACAGCTTGCGACTGAGGAGCACTCGCGGGTAGATTGGAGCAAACGCAGAGCCCAGCGCTCCTGGAAGCTCGTGTCTGATGGTGCACTTGCACTGGCCATGTTTTTTGGAGGTGAGTTCCTTCCCGGCCAGGTCCGATTCTTAGGTCCACCCGTCGTGCTCTGCTCGATGCTTTTGTGTTTCATGACTCGTTCGGGGAGGCATCGAGGGGACGTAGATGTCGCTCGTCGGCAAAGGAGCACTCTCCGACGATGTCTTTAGCTGAGCCTTGTGGAGCCATGTAAGGGACATTGATATCTCCGACCACTGAATATGATCTCCTGGCGGTGTACTCCCACTGTCATGCCTTCGAAATCGTTAGCGGGCTGCTGGATTGACATTCATTCTAGTATCGATTCCCGCCGGGTTGCCCTCGGTCTCGGCCCCGGCAGTCGTTCACAGCTTAGCTCTCGTGCAGACTTTGTGTGACTTGTCCTTGAAATCGGGGTCCAGCTTCAGCAGCCTGTACATTGCGTCGGTAATTGCTTTCTCGGATCACCGGTGGCGCTTCTGTCCGTCTGGCATGAGTCTCGACATCCCTCCGAAGAACAGTTCTATGTTTTCCTACAGTGGTCCGTGTTCTCTCTGGTGTTCGTCCCGAAGAGGACGGCGAGATGTCGAAGTCAACTGCGTTTGCCGCCTTCCGAGTCTCTTCTACTTGATGAGTGTTCGAGGCTGCTGGTCTAGTGTACAACATCGTCTGCGTCAGGAGCTGACTGTTATGAACAATGTTTGGCAGGTACGAAACTGAGCAGCGTCACCGTTGATGCCACAGGCAGGAAATTCTTTCATCGATGAGCAAGCGCAGCTGTTGACAAAGTCGATCGTTTCCTCTCTCCTACAACATCAACCGAGAATGGCCACCATGTCCAGCCTCTGTATCAGATCGTTCTGGACATTGGTGCTCGTGTCTCTCATCGCTGTTTCTGTGCCCCCCGCCGGTGAGTCGTCGGTCTGTCATCGACATAATCGTGTGCACTGAAATGTCATGCTCACAATAATACTGCTGAGTATTTGCATGCACTTTCTGCGAAAACCGCCTCCAGACTGACACGCCTTTCCGTTCCCTTGTAGGTGCGTGGGATCCCTTGGATCCTAACGGCAATATTCTTATCAGATGGGACATTATGGGATGGACCGCAGATGGATACGTCGTAAGTTCAAGCTCTCCACCGTTTGGTTCAGTGGCACGGGAGCCCCCCCCCTCTGATCGATGGTTTCGTAGCTCATACTAGCCTAGACAGATTGCTTTGCATTGACGCGGGTATGTCGGGGCGAGGCTCAACAGACCACTGAAGTTTTGATTGTCGTGCAGGCAACCGTGAATATTATAAACACTCAGCAGTATAGGGGATTGAAGAGCTACCAGCTCGGATGGCATTGGGGCAAGAAGGAAATCATATGGACAATGCAAGGTGCTAGGGCAACAGAGCAAGGCGATTGCACCAGGGTGCCCACGACTCCACCACCGCACTCGTGTATTTCTACTCCCGAGATCATCGATCTTCAACCCGGTGTTGCCTACAACCAGCAGACAGCGAACTGTTGCAGGAACGGAGTTATATCACCCGTGGCTCAGGATCCCAAAAACTCAATTTCCTCGTTCCAGATTACTGTGGGTAGAAGCGGAAACACGAATACCACCATTCTCATCCCGGAGAAACTCACCCTCAAGTCTCCGGATCCCGGGTACACTTGCAGCGCACTGAAGAAGGTGCTTCCCACCAAATTCCCATCCCCTGATGGCAAGAGGAACACCCAAGCTTACGGTAAGTGGGCTCCTGCCTAATGCGCAATGCACTCATCAATTCCCTCAACGCATGTTTTTCCTTCGGAGTGTTTGGTGATCGAGGTCATCGTGTTGTCGGGAGCTCCTGCGGGATCTGATATGTTGCCTTTTCCTGCAGTTACGTGGAACGCAACTTGTGCCTACTCGCAGTTCCTGGCGCAGAAAGCACCAACTTGCTGTGTGTCTCTTTCGGCATTCTATTCTTCGAAGATCGTTCCTTGCATGGACTGTGCCTGCAATTGCGCGCCCAATAGCACCAGTGAAGGCCTTCATCAACTGCCGGGCACGGACCAGACCTGCGTCGCACCGTGAGTCATTTTCTCGGATGCCAAAGTTTATGAACATCTTTCTCGCATTGTCCATTCACCCGTAGGGGTTGTTGCGTTCCGAGGTCGGTATGGAGATTAATATCCGAATTGCTGTCCTGTGGTTGTCCGCAGAAATGACAAGAAGGCCCTGCAGATGGCACTCACCACCGGGAAAAAAGCTCCGAATCTGTTCTGCACGAAAGATATGTGTCCTATCAAAATTCACTGGCACCTCAAAGAGAACTACAAGGAGCACTGGAGAGCAAAGGTCACCATCACCAACCGAAACCTCCAGCAGAATTACACGAACTGGAATCTTGTACTCCAGCATCCGAATTTTGTGAACTTGACCACGTCGTTCAGTTTCACACAGAAGGCTCTGACTCCGTATGGGGATGTCGCAAGTAAGTGTCCAGAAGCATTTTGATTTCCCGCCCTTGATTCTAAATTCTGAGGACATGATGACTCTGCTTCTCATAGGTCACGGCAAAGACTTGCATCTTTTATCGCTGGGTCCCGTAAGATCCTTTGGAATTGTGAGTCCGTCATAGTACTCTTCGATTTCTAAAGCTGCCTGTGGGTGCCTCTTTCTTCAGATGACACCTCGCTGTTCTGGGGAGTGAAATACTACAACGACATGCTCATGCAGGCTGGTGCAGAAGGGAATGTTCAATCTGAGCTACTGTTTGCCAAGGATTCCTATTTCACCTTGAACAAAGGGTGGGGTTTTCCGTCACGAGTGTACTTCAACGGAGATGATTGTGTGCTTCCCGACGCCGCCGATTATCCGATGTTGCCCAATGGCAGCACGAAGGTACGAGGTGGTCTGGTAGTCATTTTGTGCACACTGCTGTCCGCGGCCATCTCGTTGACCTCGTTGTTCTGAAGCGATTCCAACAACTTAGAGATGTAATTTATATCTACAGGTCCTGCAATGATTAGGGTAGGTCTCGGAACAATTGAAATTGTACAGTATTTATGGAGATCGAACCACGTTTTGTGCTGCTTTGGCTTGTCAAAGGGGATGAGCAGCACACAGAGCTCCATCTCCTGTTTTACGAGTCAACAGAAAATGCTTTGTCCTGGGGTCGTTAGGGAAAGCCAGTATCGGCAAATCTCCCGATGGACTACTTCCCCTTGAAGTTATATCATTATCTTGTTTTTACGAGTTCGGTGTTGCACTCAATGCTGCGGGGGATGAGGCCCGGTGTTGGTGCGAATTGAGTCGTACTTACCTTGTGGCTTCAGTCTAAAATTTGCTCGAGAGAATGTTCCACATCATTCTGAAATAAGAACAAATCATGTGCCTTCATGTGCCAGTCGTGTGTCAGAGACCTACAACTTTTGCTCTTAGTAATGTTTTGATGGACAGATGCATCATTGCCTCAAGGTTCTGCCCTTCAGAACACGTGCGAATTTGTCCACGTCTCCGTCGCCTAAGTTGCCTATCGTCGCGAATAGAATGTAGCTCTGGAAGGAGTACAGTGCCTCGTTTTGTCAAGAGCTGTAAGAAGGTGCTGGAAGTTCATGAGGTCCAGCGCATGGTTGAAGGTGTTCAGTGTGCAAGCGCGTGAGATGAGGACGAGTGAACAAACTTGCGTGTATAATTCTGTTGTAATTAAAGCATTACGGAAAATGTCGATCAGAAGGCGTGAATTCAGTCTTCCCATCCTTCTGGCGACATTTCCTGTTCTCCGTATTGCGGAAGGATCTACCCCTCACAACAAAGCCTCCTGCACGAAAGGGTGGAAGTCGTATTACACAACTTGCGAAATATGTGTAACCTCGTCGCCTGTCCTGCGTGCGGAAGTGCGCCGTCGCAGGGAAGGCCCCTATGCGGCCGTTGAGGAAATGGCGTGCGTGAAAATTGTGCGTTTGTTGTCGCCGAGAAACCTTCGTCAGATCGAAATGTCAGCGACGTTGTAAATGAATTAACGGTCCGCGGTTAAGCATTCGGAACCATCTCCCACCGTCGATGTTGGCATTCACGCGAGAACGAGATTGCTCGGACGCGAAGAGGAACTGTAAGATAGGTGAAAGTCATGCCACGATGCTTGAATTAAAATCCCGATTTTCTGGTTCAGCCCGCGAAGTACGAAGGCATTACTATATAGGTCAGTGGATTGATGATGAATAAGCAAAAAGGCTCATCATTTTTTAGATGTTTACATGTACGTGAGGGGGTATTTATACACAGGCATGTACGAACAAATTCTTGAGCCAACAATCCTCGTCTCAGGAACAGTTGAGGTTTATTCTTACACTGACCAACGGAGTTACCAGCTGTTGCCGTATCGAAGACTACGAAAATGATCCAGGTATTCTTGAAGGAATTGTAAGCAGTATCCCCTACACTGCTCTCTTACTTATCAACCGAAGAAATTATCATTTGCAAAGGATGAGTTCTTACAATTCTGCAAAATTTAAAATGTCACAACAAATTACCAATGTCAGCAATGAAAAATTGAACAGTTTTAAGAGCACACGTCACAGGAAAATACAATTTTGCTAGAACGAAAGAAGCCAAGAATTTCACATTTCCATGAAGCCACGTTGAAACGGGAAACATGCATTTGGATGTCTGTAACCTTTATTGACTAAAAATATAGAAACATGTGCACGCTTGAGATTGTGACTAAAATATCCAACTAAAAATAGATATTCGAATGGATACACTTAGTTTATGTAATTTTAAAATGACAATTATCTGGAAAACAAAAGACGTGTTATCATCAAGAATGAAGCGGTCAAGAAGCATATCGAGGTCTCCGTACCAGCTTAAACATTACCATGATGCACTATCAGTCATAAGTGAAAGAGAATGAAATTGAAATGAACCTCAAAAGAAATTTAAAAGAGGACAGGTACGAAATATTTTTTACGATCACAACGTTTATCCCGAAGAAGAATAACCCTATGAATGAATAAAATATCCCTCATGATTTTGTATCCATCATTCAACCTGAGAAATATGAAAGTTTCTTGTAAAGCAAAAAGAAAACCTTCGAACTTGAATCTCAATCTCAGAATGACTGTACTGCAGAAATTTCAAGGGTGTTGCTTAGTGTTCATTGCCATTGAAAATGTGTAGAAATAATATTTTACTGATATACAAAAGCAACACAATACAAATGACATATTGCAAAGAAATTATGCTGTTTTCGAAACCTGACACATTCTCAAGGTTTTCTCGAAAACAAAAGTGATGTGATTAAATTGGAAATAGTTATGTGAGACTATAGAATTGTTTAGTATAACATACGTATCTTATTTAGACTTATAGTAGCTATGTGCTGTTGCTTCTGGTATATAAGTTTCTACCGTGAATACACATATACAATTTTCTTGTATATGTATATGTGCCTCTGCTTGTTGTATATTGATTTGTTTATGAATAATGCAAAGCAGTGGGAATACACACGGATTAAGCATTTAAAGGCGAATCATCGGGTTTTTCAGGATTGTTAAACAGTGAACAATGTTCAGAAACACGAGAGCTTCATCCACGGAGGAGACATCCTCGAATACAAGGACGGATGGTAGAGGAGGAATACATACAAGGCAGCAAGATGATGAATCCAAATGGAAGCTGAAGTTGCTGACAAAATCATTGGAAGGGGAAAGGCAATGGACCAATTACGAGACCCCAGAATTCCAGAATGTCACAGCGGTGCGTGTTGAGCGCCGCTTTATCCGACCTACGTATGACCACAGTAGAACGCAGAAGGATCGGCAGCGGGCGACCGGCGAACGGCGGTCGAGGGCTCGTCTCACCACATATAATAAATACAAATCCGACGGGCGACAGGAAGGGCCGGTCGCCGGCTCCATCACTGACATGCCGCCACGTACTGCGCTCGACCACGTCAACAGCACGAGTCCGTAGGATTTGGCGAGCAGCGGATGACAGACTATCGTGGCCGCCAGTTTCCTATCTGGAGCAGCGCTCGCTCGAGGCCTGGATTGGCCGAGGGCGAGCGCACCCGTCTCCACCCCGTCCGAGCCACAGGCGCTCGAGCTCGCAGTGTCTGAAGGCGGATTATCTGATCGGTAGCTCTTTTGGACCACGCACGCGACGTCGAGAGACTTGAAGAAAACGCGCCTCTGCAAGTCGGGCAATCGAAGTGTGTTCGTTCGGCATCACTTCACCAGCACCAGCAGCGGAGGCAGCGGCAGCAGCAGAGGCAGCTGAAGGAATTTCTGCAGCCATGGCGGCCGCGACTATGTCCGTGGCCTCGGTCTCCGCCTCCGTGGCCAAGGCCTCACAGGTACTTCTTCCGCCGTCTCGATTCGACCTCTGTCCTGTCCTGTCATGGCGGAAATTCGCAAATCACTCTGAATTGTAGAGGGATCGTCTCGTGTTAGTTTTTCCTGAGTGAAGGCAGAGATGAGGCTCAAAATTGACCGTCCCTCGAAGACGTAAACTCGGTTTCTCGGTGGGGGTGTGTCACATTAGTCTTCAAGGTCTGGTTTTCGTCTCTGATCGCAGTGCGATCGCACTGTAAGACGAATGCGGCTCCATAATGTCAGCCATAGGGATGGCCGCTGATACCGGTGATGGATGCAGAGTCCACCACTTAGAGACCGATGATTATCGATTTGTACAGTAAATGCAGAGCCGCCAATCGTCTTCTGGAAAGGAATGCAGGCTCGACGTGTAATTCGCATCATTTCTGCCTGCCATGGGCCTGTAGACTCCTAATTCGGAAACCGCGGTCACTAGAGCCAAAGGAGTGTTCGAAATGTACGACTGTGTTCATGCATTGTCTGACGTCGTCTTCCCTTCGGTGCCCTCACATGGGCCGGCCGAGGTTGAAGCCATGGACTCAGCTCGCGACGAGTTATAGCAGGTCTGAAGAATTTTCTCATCTCACCGGTTCAATGCTTTGTCATCGCGCAGGTCTCAGGAAAGGACTTCTCCGGTCTCAAGAGCACCAGCGTCGCCACATTCGGCAAGAGGTCCGACGACCTGTTGACCCGAGTGGCTGCCCAGAGCGCCGTGGTATGTTTCTTCACGCACTTGAACCAAATTTCTTCGTCTGATTACGAACTGTTAGTGCTTCTCTGGGATTACATGGTGTTCTGACTCTATTCCCCCACCAGGCCGTCAGCGGTGCCCAAAAGAGAGCCGTCGTCGAGGCTAAGGTGAAGGTTGCCATCAACGGATTTGGAAGAATCGGACGCAACTTCATCCGATGCTGGCACGGAAGGAAGGACTCTCCCTTGGAGGTCGTCGTCATCAACGACACCGGAGGTGTCAAGCAAGCCTCCCACTTGCTGAAGTACGATTCCATGCTCGGTATCTTTGATGCCGATGTCAAGGCAGTCGGTGACGACGCCATCTCCGTGGACGGCAAGATCATCAAGATTGTCTCCGACAGGAACCCACTGAACCTTCCATGGGGGTAAGTCTGCAGCATCCACTTCTGACAAGAATGTTGCCTCCGCATTGAATTGCATCGGGACTGTATGATGCTTTCTTCCATCTTCTGTGTCTGATGTTATGGTATTTTTGCAGAGAGATGGGTGTCGACCTCGTAATTGAGGGTACCGGAGTATTCGTCGACAAGGAAGGTGCTGGCAAGCACTTGCAGGCTGGAGCCAAGAAGGTGCTGATCACCGCACCCGGAAAGGGCCCCATCCCCACATACGTCATCGGAGTGAACGAGGAGCTGTACGACCCATCTGAGCAGATCATCTCCAACGCCTCGTGCACCACCAACTGTCTCGCACCCTTCGTCAAGGTTCTCGACGAGAAGTTCGGTACGTTTCCAAACGATTCAAGCAGCTCATCTCTATTTTTTCAGTCAAATTGGTCGATTGCATCCACATTGCCTACATTCATAATCGACGTGGACTGTGCAGGAATCATCAAGGGTACCATGACCACCACCCACTCTTACACCGGTGACCAAAGGCTGCTCGATGCCTCCCACCGTGACTTGAGGAGAGCCCGTGCTGCTGCTCTGAACATCGTGCCCACTTCCACTGGAGCAGCCAAGGCCGTGGCTTTGGTGCTGCCCAACTTAAAGGGCAAGCTCAACGGGATTGCCCTCAGGGTACCCACCCCGAATGTGTCAGTGGTCGACCTCGTCGTCCAAGTTGAGAAGAAGACCTTCGCTGAGGAAGTGAACGCCGCCTTCCGTGAAGCCGCCAACGGTGACATGAAGGGAATTTTGGCAGTGTGCGACGAGCCTTTGGTGTCCGTCGACTTCAGATGCACTGACGTTTCATCCACCGTCGACTCGTCGTTGACGATGGTTATGGGAGACGACATGGTGAAGGTTGTCGCATGGTACGACAACGAGTGGGGATACTCGCAGAGGGTGGTCGATTTGGCCAACCTCGTCGCTGAGAAGTGGACCGGAGCTTAAGAAGCCGACCCCTCTTGGGCTGTTCAAATAGGTAGAGATGATGAGGATGATGATAATCCATGTCTTATAAAACACCGACCATGCTGTAATTCATTCGCATTTTTAAAGCGCCCGATCCCACATCCCCGTAGGTCTCGAATGAGATTTCTTTCCAGCGCATTTTTTCGAGAAGAGTGGGTATGGTTTTTAGTCAGTACCGTATTTGACGAAGCTGCAGTTCCTTCTGGGGAGAGGATGCGTGCACAATCTGTAGAATATGTGCACTGGAACCTTATTCCGCCGCTGTAAACAAGACTGTATTGCCCTTTTGTTCAAAATTTAATCAAATTCGTTTGAAAACCACTCATATTGTTCAAGGACGATGATGCACCTGATTGTGGATTGAATTGGAACCGAGAGTAAGGCAGATTTTTCTGAAATACCAGTTATTGGTCAAATTCGACAACAATTCAAAGGAAGAGACGATTTCGTTCTGAGATATGAAATAATTCAAGTTTTCAAACTGTGAATGCCTTGTTTGAGGCAAGGTAGAAAAATGATTGAGACGATCATATGATGACTTGTCGAGAAAAGTTCATATTCACTTTCTATCTTAGACTTTAAACATAGCTATAGGTTAAAGATATTTTCGGATATTTGGATACTATTTTAAGCTACAGTTGTCCATTGGCTTTGTTCTCGTTTAAACTTCAAAGAAATATTTACTGTATACGTCGATGAAAGTGGCAATTATCCACTCATTCAAGCAAAAAATGAACGTATGCAAGTTTTACAAATTTAATCTGTGTATAACACCATATCTACAAATCGCGGATGAACGATTGTACTCTTTATGTTAAAGAACTATGTAGTGCAGCATTAAAGATTCATGTAGAGCAGTATAGGTCAAAATATCATACGTCCTCTATGACTGGGAATTCAAAGGTGTGGGGCCAGTCATAGGCCCCACACTTTTGTCGGGTGGACGCAAGATAGATATTCAGTCACACTTTTCATCCAACGATAGGATTTCTAACTTTCTGGCCATAGCACGATATGAGAGGGTGAAAACCGCTCAGTCTACCCACCACTCAATCAATTGATAAGCTCATTATCTGCTTCCAGACCGCTCAAAACCTTTCACAATCGCGTGTAATCAGCAAAAGCCCCGTCATTGGGACATGGTGAAAGCTTGATACTGATTCGGATAATAGCAGGAGGTTTAACAAAAATTTATACTGATGTTCGATGTCTTGAGCCATCAAAATTCATATACGCTAAAAGTGATGCTCTGCATATTCTGCCTTTACTAATCTCAACACCAAATCTGATCTGAACCTGAACTACGTCTCTCCTTGCAGCTTCACACATAGCATTTGACTTCAAAGCTTATTACTATTTTATTTAATTTTATTTCATATTGGGTTAGAAATTTTTTTTGCCGATTTCATCGCGTAAAGGGGGATATTTTAGCCACACTAGCCTTCCAAGATTTGCCTTTCATACAGATGCAGTTCTATCTCGTCACACTCCCTTCATTAAAGCAGTAACTACTTGTGAAGATGAGATTGGTGACCTCTGGTTCCACAGGTTGACCATAATCTCTATGATGTCGTTTGTGGCTATCTTATTCTCCTCTATCCCTGGTGTAATACACTTTAACTCCTTCCACTATCTTTGGACTCGTGTAATACACTTCAACTCCTTCCACTATCTTCGGACTCTCCACAGATAAAGCAAGTATGACGTTTTTTTCCCATCTACACATCTTGGACATCTACCGTCACACATTCATGACATAACAAGCTTGTAAAACCTTTGATTTATTTTCTCACATCCATAGCTCCATGTTACTTGTGATAGAATATGTCCAAATTCGAAATATCCTCCTCTTCCATTCACAATACGAGTTCCTTCAATTCCACATGTTGTTCATGTTCGTGTTCTTGTCCAAAAAACAGCCCTCGATTGTTTCCAAGTTAGTTTTCATGATAACGCTCATCATTATCATATTTTTCATGTCCATCCTTGAGTTTCTTGATTAGCCCCGTATCTTGAAGTAAATTTACATGAAGATGCTATTTATTCTTCTACTTTCCATGTCCATATTTGTAGATATACGGAATGAAAATCATAACGAATCTATCATAAGAAATTCATTTAAACTAATATCATTAGAGTTTAGCTCAAAAGTGTGAAAAGAGAGAAACTGAGTTAAAACTATCCATAAGTAAATGCGTTTGGAAACGCACATATTTTTTTTATTTTACTATGAATATAAACCATTTGATTTATTATATATACGTGTCAAGTTTGTATCAAATTTGAAACTCATTGATGATATAATGGTTTGATCTAATTTCATTAATAAATTTTTTGTAGAGATATTTTTTTATGAAGTTTAATATGAATTTTACTCGATCACAATAAACACAAATGTTTAATACATAATTAGGCCAGTTTTGACACATGTAGTAAATATTGCTATTTACCATTATCATATATTTGAAAACAAAAGTAGCTTTCATTTAATTATAAAAAATGACAATGTCCTTGATATATCTTCCAATCCTAGAAAATGAGGTTATTTTTTACAATTTGTTAGGAAAAATTTCTGATGCAATGTTCTTCTTTAATTATGTCATTAATAAAGACATATGTGACTTACAATTAGATCGACTTTTGTGTTCTTTAAATTTTTGCTCAATGGAATATGAAATTTTCATTAGTTCAAGAGAGGTGCATTTTTTGTTTCTGAGTTTGAAAGAAGGTAGAAAATCAACAATGAGATCTTTACCGTACACAAATGTTAGAAAAAAATTCAGAAAACGAGTTCACGCTGAAGGAATATTGTTATCAATGTATTGAAGTAAAAATGAAATAACAATTTTACAAATCGAAAGATGTCCAAAGAATTACCTGTATATGTATAGATCAATCATCAAAACTTGTGTTACTTGATTGAAGCTTTATATATTCAAACTATTGAATATGAACAATGCGTAGAGTTCATAGATAAACATATTTTGGAAAGAACATACCATATTTTTATTTGTTACCAAAATTCGAAAATTGGATAATGATATTTACAATTAGATCTGAATCATATTGTGATATTTGATGATTTATATAAATATTGTAAAACATTAAGTTGGCAAAAAATATCTTCATATTTTTGCATTGTAATTATTGTTATTATAGTTCTCAAATGTAGATATTTGAAATTTAATATTGCTTGTATTTTGAACGATATAATATATTATTTATGAATTAATGTAACATATATACATCTTGATAATTGTAAGCGTAAATTGAACTCAATCCAAGTGATTAAATTTGACACAACAGTAAATTGGACAAGTTTTATTAACTGAAGGCTAATTACACCTATAGAGGAACAACTTGCTATGTCTATCATGTGTCCAATGTTTCTTTTTGGTTTTTGAATGTATGTAGTTATCAATTTGGGTAAACAACATTTGTATACCACTCAGGTCAGTAATATCCTCTGAGACTTTCAGACATGCTGAATGGATGGAGTTCTTCAATATATATATGTGATGACCAGACTGGACAGCCATGATGAAAGCCTTCTGGTCTAGGGGATCGGTCTTGGCACACTATCTCGATGACCTTTACACTCCATACGATCCGACTATCGAAGTAATCTGCGGAGGAATCGAAAAGCGATGATCTCTTTGCACGAAGAACTCGCAACTTAGCGTCCAAGCTGCTGTCGGTGTACCGAAAGCAAGCTTGCAACAGACAGAAGGTGACAGTCGTCAATCTTCGGAGGGGAATCTGCCGGAGTCCCTATCAAGCAGAGGGCTGCAAATGGATATCGCCAAGAGGATATACTTGCGAGCTTCCATAGATCAGGGGCCAAACGTAGCGAACAAAGGTTCGTTATCCAATCTCTCCGGTAGGACGGGCACTGGCATTGTTGGCTGCAAGAGCTCCACGTGAACGAACACGTGGAAATTCATCATTGGAGGAACAAATCGGCACGGGGGAAGGGGGGGCCCACGTCATTGGGCCCCGCTCGCAGGTGGAAACTATGGATATGCCTACTGGGCACTTTCGGCACTCGAGCCCCATAGCTCGACTCGACTCCGTCCAGTGTGTGGCTCGGGGGCTTCACCGCGGTGCAGACGTGGGCTTCGTTTCCTCCCCTCGCGCTTCAATGGGGCAGCAGCCACGAGTGCCGAGTTACTGCGCTGGGGAAACCGGCGAAACCGAGCAAAGCTCGGCTAAGCGGACGGGGTTGGGGCTGGGGCTGGGCCTGCGGTCTTATCTGCCTAGTTACTGCGCTGGGCAAACCGGCGAAAGCCGAGCTAAGCTCAGCTAAGCGGACGGGGCTGGGCCTGAGCCTGGGCCTGCGGTCTTATCTGCCGAGTTCCTGCGCCTGTGGGATCCCCACGACGAGCTGGATATGGCGCCACGCTGAAGCCCCAGTCTCGTCTTTCCGGCTCTGCTTTCCCGGAGACACCAGCAGCAGCAGCAGCGAGAGGGGCTAAGCTCTCTTCGAGCTTCCTTCATTCCGAAGGCCCTCTCTCTGCCACCAGCAGCAGCAAAGGAAGCGAGGAGAAGCGCGAGAGTGCCGAGCCTTTGAGAGCGGAGCGCTGGTGTTTTGATCATGGCTTCGACTATGGCGCAAGCCTCGCGCTTGGGGCTCGGGGCTGCCGCTGCGGTCGCACCGGCTTCGGCTCAAGGAAAGAATTCTCGCAGACGGGCGGGACGGGGCGTGTTGAGCAATGGCGCCATCGCTTCCTTCTCCGGCCTCAAGGCCACCACTGGACTGCCCCGCTCCGCTCCCTCGGCCGACGCCGCTCTCCAACGCGCTAAGCTCTCACAGGGCATCAAGTCTGCTTCTCCGAGCGCCCGAAGAGGAGTCGTGTGTATGGCAGCTGCTGAAGGTACGATACTTCGCTTCTGCCATTCCGAATTTCATCCGCTTATTTTTCTCTCTGCAATCGTTGTGCCCATTCTCTCTTGGATTCCGCCCTTGTTTACTGTCTGCAAACTCCACTGCGTGAGTGAATTGGACTCGCTTTCAATTTTATGTCCCACTATGACACAGCACTTTTCATGCCGACGGTTTCTTTTTGGGGTTCTGTTTCTGAACTTGGAAGAAGCTCCTGGGAGGGCAGGGTTTATGTGGGGTTAGCCGTCTTATGAGCAATGCTCGTCTTTTCAGGTAGAGAAGTGCCTCTGTCGGACTACCGAAACATCGGTATCATGGCCCACATTGATGCCGGAAAGACCACCACCACCGAGCGTATCTTGTTCTACACCGGTAGGAATTACAAGATTGGAGAGGTGCACGAGGGAACTGCCACTATGGATTGGATGGAGCAAGAGCAAGAGAGGGGAATTACCATCACCTCTGCCGCTACCACAGCGAAGTGGAAGGACCACCGAATCAACATCATCGACACGCCTGGTCACGTCGACTTCACTCTGGAGGTGGAGCGAGCCCTGAGGGTTCTGGATGGAGCTATCTGCCTCTTTGACAGTGTGGCAGGAGTAGAACCCCAGTCAGAGACCGTGTGGAGGCAAGCCGACAAGTATGGTGTTCCACGTATCTGTTTTGTCAACAAAATGGACCGGCTGGGTGCCAATTTTTTCCGAACCAGGGACATGATAATTTCCAATTTGGGTGCCAAGCCCTTGGTATTACAGCTCCCAATCGGATCTGAGGAAACCTTCCAAGGTATTGTCGACCTAGTGAAGATGGAAGCCGTAGTGTGGGGCGGTGAGGAATTAGGAGCCAAGTTTTACAGTGAGCCTATTCCAGAGAATTTGCAGGAGCTGGCAGCAGAGTACCGTAATTTGCTGATTGAGACGGTTGTGGAACAAGACGACGAAGCCATGGAGAACTACTTGGAGGGTATCGAGCCCGATGAAGAGACTATCAACAGGTTGATCCGAAAGGGAACCATCTCCTTGTCATTTGTCCCCGTCCTCTGTGGTTCGGCTTTCAAGAACAAGGGTGTGCAGCCTCTTCTGGATGCCGTCATCGCATACCTCCCCTCACCTCTAGATGTTCCACCTCTAAATGGAAGTGACGCTGAAGACCCCACCATAACCATTGTCAGGCAGCCTAAGGACTCTGAGCCTTTCTCCGGTCTTGCATTCAAAATTATGACTGATCCATTCGTGGGATCCCTCACATTCGTCCGAGTTTACAGTGGAGAAGTCACAGCAGGAACTTACGTCCTGAATGCCAACAAGAATAGGAAGGAGAGAATTGGACGTCTGCTGGAGATGCACGCCAACAGTCGAGAGGATGTAAAGGTCGCCAGAACCGGAGATATCATCGCTCTTGCGGGATTGAAGGACACCATCACCGGAGAGACTCTCTGTGATTCAGACAAGCCTGTGGTGCTGGAGCGCATGGATTTCCCAGACCCTGTAATCAAGGTTGCCATCGAGCCTAAAACCAAGGCCGATGTCGACAAGATGTCAAACGGTTTGATCAAGTTGGCCCAAGAGGATCCCTCTTTCCACTTCTCCAGAGATGAGGAGACTAACCAAACCATCATCGAGGGTATGGGAGAACTTCATCTCGAGATTATTGTCGACAGACTGAAGAGAGAGTTCAAGGTAAGCTCTACACGCAGCCCTTGTTACAACAGCATAGTCCTTCTGAATCCCCTTGTTACTATCAGAACTCACAACATTCTTGGTATGTCTAGATTGTGTTGACTCTGTTCCATTATGTCAATGACTTCTTAGACCACTCCCTAGCATCTTACTCTAGAGCCTACTGATAAATACTTGGAAGATTCTCACGAATGTGTTCCTTCCAAGGTGTTCATTCTACTCATATACTGAGATGCACATTCATTGGTGTTCTTTACCTCTGTAGTGAGGTTTGCCTTCTTGTTTGCAAGACCCGTAAGCCAGTACTAGGTCTAAAATCCCCTCACACACGAGGATGCTTGATCATCACTGCCGTTGACCTTAGGTTGGGCTTTGTAGCAGGTAGCTGATTCTCGGAAGCTAGGAACAAACCTTAACTTCCTCCTTTCAGTCTTCTGAATGACACCAAAGCGTTGAATAAGAGACGCTCTAAAGTATATTATTGTTCCTCTTGCCCGCAGGTCGAGGCCAACGTCGGTGCGCCACAAGTGAACTACAGGGAGAGTATCTCCAGGATTGCTGAAGTCAAGTACGTCCACAAGAAACAATCAGGAGGGCAAGGACAATTCGCCGAAATTGTTGTACGCTTTGAGCCACTAGAGTCAGGCAGCGGTTATGAATTCAAGAGTGAAATCAAGGGAGGAACAGTTCCAAGGGAGTATGTACCTGGTGTCATCAAGGGTCTTGAAGAGTGCATGAACAATGGTGTCCTGGCTGGTTACCCAGTTGTGGACGTGAGAGCTGTATTGGTGGATGGATCATACCACGAGGTGGATTCTAGTGTCTTGGCTTTCCAGTTGGCTGCAAGAGGAGCATTCAGGGAAGGTATCTCCAAGGCCGGACCAAGGTTGTTAGAGCCAATTATGAAGGTAGAAGTAGTCACTCCCGAAGAACACATGGGTGATGTTATTGGAGACCTCAACTCCCGAAGAGGTCAAATCAGCAGCTTTGGAGACAAGCCAGGTGGCATGAAGGTAACAAGATTTCTCCATATTGTCTCAGTTTCGCAAGCCTGGTTTTTGAAGAATACTTGCCTTTTATGAAACGCTGCTGATCGTCCGAGAACGGTTTTATTTGGTTGTTTTTGTGAGATGATATCAAGTCGAAGGTGATTGCATCATCATTGGTTTCATGTAGCTTCTGAGTGTGAGTCAATCAAATTGCCTGCCAATCATGTCTCAAGGATATACTCTTTTTAAAAGCTTGGAAACTAACGCGATTTCTTCGCAGGTTGTCGACGCCGAGGTTCCTCTATCTGAGATGTTCCAGTACGTCAGCAACCTTCGTTCCATGTCCAAGGGACGAGCCCAGTACACTATGCAACTTTCGAAATTCGAGGTCGTGCCACAACACATTCAAAACCAAATCTCGGCCAAGAATAACTCTGTTGTTGCTGCCTAGAAGGTTGGCTACCCACATTTGTTAGAATTAGGCAAAATAAATAAAATTTCAAATTTTTTGCACAGGAGAAAACTGTCCTGAGTAGGAGTAGATGTTGTCCGCATTGTTGCCTCACACACATCGATTACATTTGTACGAAAATCAATCATAGAGGTTTAGTTTCCGTACTTCTACTCAGGTGTACTTTGAAAAAACTGTTCAGGAAACTAGAACCGAGTAAAATTCTGAAAATTTGGCCCTTGACAGTATACTGATGGAATATGTTTTCATTGTTTGAGCTCTATCAATGACCCTTTCAACTCACTCAATGCGATCCATGCTTTGCTATTGAATGTTTACAAAAGCCAATCGGTAACTTTCAAATGATATATGTCAGTCCTATTGCTTGCGGTTTCATCACAGTTGAGTATGAGAAGAAGTCACTGTGTCGTTAAGCAGTCTACTTATCAAAGACAGGAGGTTTAAAGAAATGGGAGATTCATTTGGATGTAAGCACTTCAAATGAAGCACAAAATACACACCGAAACAGGGATGAAATCACCGTTTTTGTCTGAAGATAAACTTGAAACTTCACCAATACAACTATGACCTAATTATACCGTATCTTCTTCTGCAAGCGAAAGTCTAGAGTACGTTATTATGAGGAGCAAGACTTTCTTTTGTTGTTATCCTAGTGGTTAAATTTGATACCCGTACACACGCTTTAAGCGTCTATTATGTCTACAATACGGCGGGCAACAAGATGATCATCAATGTAGAATACTCTCTTAATAGTACACATGTCCAAAGCAAGCGGATTGAAAATATGTCCCTCACCCAATCTTGGTTTCTTGTAGACCTTAGCAGCAACGTCAATACTCTAATATTATCACCGTAGATTTCCAGTGATATTGTGCTGAGTGTATTCAATGCAGTAATCACTACTTCGTTAAAAACAACTACAAATGATTCTGCTATACACAAATATCTCAATCACGCTCGCAAGATATACGAAAAGATGAATCACAGAAACATTGATATGAATTAATGTATGAGTCTCTTAGGTATTGACAATGAGGTGATAACGTCCTGTAATTGGTTCCAATGGAACCCTTTTGTTACTTAGATAAGTGGTAGATGCAAGCTGGATCATTTTGATGGAAAATGACATTAATGGCATTAGATCGATTGCATGTTGTTAGTCATAGAACTATCATACATCCTTGTACATCATTTTAATATATATTCATTTACAAGAGCTATATATATATATATAAAAATAAATATACCATATATACAATTTATTAGTTTTTGAATGGGCTATATTTATTGTTATTAATATTATGCATGACATTTGAATGTTCAATTTTACTATCAGAAGTAATGATGTTTCAAGATGTGATTTTTTCACAAGATTTTTGAAACTGAATATTTTCTTTATTTTATCTTGTGAATTTTTTACCTTGTGTTTTTATACATAAGATTATTATCAATATTTATGATATTAAATTAGTTTATTATTTTATTATTTAAATTATTGACATCCAATTAATTCACGAAAAAAATACAGAAAGCTATATTATCCATGTACTTGATGTCAAATCATGAAAACTCAATGATGCTTCACTCATTACATTTATTGTGTCATTGCGTTATAATACCACTTTTCTTACGTAGTACTACATCCGTCCCAAAATTATTGTCCAATTTTTGTTAAAACAACGCGATTAAGCTCAAATAATCTTTTTTTTGTTGTTTTGCGATGAGCAAGTGTAAATTTTTGAAGTGTTTTTGATTCCCGAAATTGAACTTTGGCACCCTCTTCAAGCGAAAGTTTTGACAAAGCGAAAGTAGTCAAACTTATCTATGCAGCAGTGCTTGGTCGAGGTCATAAAATGCGGCGGCAGAAATGACTGCAAACTTCCCCATATGAGCAAGAAGAAGCTGGCGCGACAGTGCCTTCTCCTGGATAACATTGTCTCTCCATTGGCATTGTACAACAGTGCTCGAGAGCGTCTAAACGGTCTAAAGAAAGCATAATAACAATATGACAATAAAAATGGGACGCAAAAAAACCGTGAATTTGACAATAACTTTGAGACAGAGGGAGTAATATACTATATAAGATAGTTGGTCCGGAGTACAACTAATAAAATTCTAACTAGCCTAACTTTAATAACATATAAGTGAACTCATAAAATTTGTATCTTTGATATTAAAACTTTCGGTACTTAATTTTAATAACCAACAAAAACACTGCGTGAAACTTGACAGATATTTTACATACATTCCTCTTTAAATTGAACCTAATAATAATTAAATTGTAGCAAAATTAGGATATATAATTTCAGATAGTAAAAATTTGCTATCAATATCTATCTAAATTTATTATGTAAAATCTACATAATAGCACAATACTTTTGATATCAAAAAATAAATAAATTTAATCAATGCATTAAACAGATTGAGTTAATCGTCAATCTTGACTAACTTAATTTTTTTATAAAAAATTAGATCAAAAAGTGTTATTTTATGACAAAGTGCTTCATCTTAACATTCATCATGTGATTTGTTGCAAACTTTCGCTATCATTATCATTAGTGCATTTTCATTATCTTTCTGAAGATTGAAAACATTATATTTTAGTTTTGTTCTAGTAAGCAGTCTATTTGACCAAATAATTTTTTGATAGCTTCTATTGCTACCAATTTGTATTCTATAATCAATTTTTAAAAATAGATTTTCAACTAATAATGACATTTTTTAAACGTAAAAATAAATTCAATTTATATTTTAATTATCTTGTCTGGATATTATCAACAGTCAAGATTAACAAAGTCTAACAAAAAATTGTCATTGTCTAACATATCATAAAACATAGAGTTATAATTTTTAACCCTCTAAAAATGTTTAAGAATCTTCAATCCATATTTCTTGAATGCAACATTATCTTATTCATGATACCACACATTTGAACAATATCAGATCACACGCACATAATGTTCATTCTCAATACTCTCAATTAAACATAGAGCTGGCAAAAAAACTTTGAATGAGTTGTCAAATGTCTTGATTGAATCATGAATATGTTTATGAACATAAATAGGTGATATTACTATGAACATATTTAAATTTATCATCGTAAATGTTGATTAAGGTTGTTCTTGCTCTGTTTATATTGAATTTTCTCAACAAAATAAGCATGAATTTCATACGTAGTATATAATTGATGAAATTAAAAATCTGTATTTTATTTCTTTTGTGTTTCAATAAAATTTTCAACTCTTTACTTTCATTTTTAGGAAACTTATTTTAAACCACATAATGATTTTGAATATTTGTAAATTTTCATATTTTTTTTGAAAGCCATCTTTTCATATATCAAAAAAGTGCCATTCATAAAATTTCCTTAATCACAGTTATTAGATCTGTAATTTAATCAGCTAACATTTTATGTGCACACAACAGTTAAATTATAACTTATTTTGCTAGAATTGAATAGATTTATTCTAGTTTGCAAATTTTATTTTTTTTATCTTTAGCCGTCAATCTGATATTGAAAATGTCACTTTTATTATTATGTTGACTTTTATTCACCATGCACATTTAATTTTTTATCAATCCAAATTTGATTCTTAGAAATCTTTATATATTTTATTTTTTTGTTAGAATTGAAAAATTGCATGTCACGTTTAATAGCAATATTTCATTCAAGCTTATTTATAGACTACTCAACTTGTCTATATGAATAAGATTTTATTATCCTTAAAACAAAATCAACGCATTTTTAAAACTATTTTCAATTTCAATATTATAAAATCTAATATATATGAATCAATTCATATTTTATTTCCTGTAAAAATTTCATTTTATTTGATTTGATGAAAACCATTATATTGTAAATTTTTTTTAAATTTTTTTAATATATATTTGCTTGAAAAATCTACTACTTTTCTAATATTTTTTAATCATTGAAATATTTTTTTTGATAATAAATTTAAAGATATTATATTTCATAAGTTTTGTTCATGCACAAAACTAAAATATAACAAAGAAAACCTTTTAGATATAGAATTTAACTTGATATATCTGCATTCTTTTTGAAAGATAAACCATATAATCATATATTTTAAACAGTTCTCTTTGGCTATTTTTTTTATTCAATTCAAAAAATATCCAAAAATGATTGAAAGAAAGTAAAAAAATTATAAAATCTCCAATGCACTAGTCAAAATTTTGTATGATGTACCAAAGAGACTTGAACTCTCACTCATATACTTCTGATACTTTTTTTGAAATACAATGTTTTGTTAAATAGTATAAATCAGGATGAAAAGATGAGTGATACTTCAATCTATGCAAAAAATTTTAAACTCTTCATAAGTTTTTTCCAATATCTTAAAGTAAATATTTCGTTTTTTTATCAATCTTAGTTTAAACTTGGTTTCTTCAACTTAAATCTTGAAAGTTTTCTTCTGAAAATTTTCAAGATTTAAGATTTTCACATCAGAAATTAAATTCACACAAATTTTTCAAAAATCATCAATAAAATTTTCAGATATTGCAAATTTCAATTAAGTTTCACGTGCCATTATGCATTCATTCAAAGATTTTATGAAAACTATGAATTGTAACATCGATAGTTTTCTTAAATGATTTTTGCTTATGATATATTGATTGCAAGAATAATTTTTGTTACCTTACTCTAATTATGTTAAGTAATAATTTCATATTCAAAGAGTGTCAAATATTTATTAGTCATTTTTTCAAAGCGTATAATGACAAACATGATTTATGGCAAGTCAAGATATAGTAAATCAGATTTAAGACAAAGTATATATTGAACAAAATTTGTCTTTGATCCACGCAATGTATCACCTAAGCGTGGAGGAGTAGTACCATACAAAGGAGCTGATAATATTAATTTAGAAGCAAGATTTGCAAATCATATGTCTCTTTTTTCTTTAATCATTTGATACAAGCACATACATTTAATTTTTTTTTGGAATTTTCATGTGAAAATTTTGACGAAAAATCTATGATAGTGTTTGTCTTAGGTATATATATGTTTGTGGTTAATGTATCATTCACGACCCAAATAAGCATTCGTGACACAAACACAAGAAGCTCTTTAACATTCTTCATGACACATGTCGTTTTATGTCTTTCAGAAAATGACTATATTTATATTGCTGTTGTGTTAAAATCCTGATTCTGTTACTGACAGATAATAATAACACACGTATATAAAAATAAACTGATCCTCATCCTAAAATTTTATTTCAAAGAACATTAATACCAATTCCTTTAAATATAAGATAGCAAACCTAATTGAAGAAATTTTCAGTTTGCACTTAACAATTACTTTTATATTTTTTATTGCTCAAACATGAAAGTAAGAATAACTCTCAAATTGCTTTAATTTCAAAAAAAATTAATCATTTTTACAAGCAATCCAAAAATGTATTTCCTTTTGCAACTTAAATTTAGTAAATAATCATTAGAATATTTTTAGTATTGATGATATTTCCATATACTTGATAAAATATATATTCTTAAATAATTTTTTGTTGAAATTCCATATTATTCAAAATAATGAATAAACATGAATACATAAAAAATAGGGAATTGTTAAATACACCACACTTTTTACTAAATACACGACACACACCTGGTTGTCGTACACCTACTTATCGCACATACACAATGGATTTTAGAATGTGTCACTCATGTTGTCTCTGCATGGGGCACCACCTCCACCGATCAAAGTTGAGGGTTCTATATGTGGAATTAAGAGAAAAACTCACACTACTGGATAATAGAAGTTGTGTATGAAACACTCAAAACTGAAGAGAGGAGTAGACAATCGTATGGGAAACATTAGGCCATGTCTTCAATTTTCATTGAGATTTAATTGTTATAGAGGTGTGGCGAATAAAATAGGTGTGTGGTGTATTTAGTAAAAAATGTGGTGTATTTAACAATTCCCAAAAATAATATATAATACATAAAAATTTCTTCAATTTTAGCTAAAAATATTTTTCATGCAAAAAATTGTTGAATTAAAAAATTTTATAAAATTTTTTTGAACTAAATTTAAAGAAAAATAATCGTGTGAAAAAATTGAGTAATTTTATGTATATGTTATAAATTTTGGATGATACTTAGATTAATCATCAAACGGTATATTATTATTGAAAATTTCCTGAGTTATTATATTACAAATGAATTATTATTATTATTTTCTATTTTATAAAAAATTAATTTTAGTTTCTGTATTTCTGTATTTTAGTTAATAATAATATTAGCAAATAACTTTTTAGATTTAAATATGATTTTTATTTCTTGTTTTAAATTAATAAAATTGAAAATATAATTTTTATATCAAGAAATTGTAGGTATAAATGTTTAACGAATGTGAAAAGATAAATTTGGTATTTAAAATTTTTCTTTACACATGAGAATAAAAAAAGTGATTTTTTTGAACTTTTTTATCCATAAATGTTTCATATTTATCAAAATAATTATGATGAGTATATTTGCAGTGAATATTTTTTGGCGAAATTGAGATATGTTTTAAAATATAAATCACATCAAAATTGTGATGAAATGTAATGTAAAGCTATTTTGATAACTTGATTTTAGTTACATAGGATAAATTGATTTTATTTTTTTATTTTTTTGAATATTTATTAATTTTTGTCCAAAATAAGATGAAATTAAAATTTATGGTAATAATTTTGATTTCATTTATAAACTTTAGCAATAAATGTTATTTCTTAATTTTATAAAACTTTATACATTATCTTAAAATAAATTTTACTTCAAAAATAAATAATATTTTATATCCCTAATTTAATTAATATAATATAAAATAAAATAATTGAAACGAAAATGAAGCAATTAAAATTTTACCTAATGGTAAATAAATTTTTTGGATAAACATTGTGCGTGCGTTATAAGCATACGAATATGGTGTTGTTTATGAAATAAATAGTATTACAGTATTGGAAAAAATTTTATACAATATTCATTCTGATGAAAGTTTTGAAGCAATTTTTTTGGTATAATGATATGCTTTGAAATTTTTTACTTCTATGTTATATTGCGAGGTATTTTATTGATAATTTCATAAATTCAGTGAATTTTACCTTTTAGTGTTGTGTGACAGATAATGCAAATAAAAAAGTAATTCAGTAAAAGAAGATTAAGCTAATCTGATTCATGACACTGATTTTTGATTGCACGGCGTTATGCTGAATTCCATAAACATAAGAAAAAAATTTCATATTAGTTAATAACAATTGAAAATCGCAATCAAGAGTGATTTGATGATGATGCTGCATGTTTATGGTTCAGGTCCAATCGTTGTCTTTTTCCATTAGATAGTATCTTCCAATCAAGTGATGAAATAAAACATTTCTTTATAAGGAGTATATTTTAAGACTTGTAAATTCTATCTGCAAGGATTAGTTTGTGATTGGTACTAAGTCACTTGTCAAGCATCTTAGATGTGTTCAACATGCCTGTTTAGGTTTTCGGACAAATTAAATATCCAATATTATTATTGATATCACTTAGACAAAAGAGTCCACTAATCTCGTTCATGCAACATGCAGGTTGCGCTTCTCAATAAAGTACTTGGTTGATATCAGCTGGGTAATCGGTAGAGTTAGACAACAGCACATGAGGACACTAGACGCAAGTGTTGGAAACCATGCGACACATATGCCAATGATAGCACTGAGGTCTAGTATGGTGATTGTTGAGCTATAATCTGTTGCTGTTGGAATCAAGCTGAGTATCAGCAATTTTCACTTGAAGCTTGTCTTGTGGTGGGACTTGTACTTGTTTGTCTGCAAATGTCTTCTCATGCATGACTTTCACTCCAGTAAGCAACAGACAGCATGGAAAAGCGTGGCTCAATTTCCCACATTATCATTTAAATAGTCGTCCTCTGACTCCAGTTTATAAGCTATATTACAATTGTTTTTTTAGTATGACGTGCCACTTGGGTTATGTGGAAACAACCATTCAGCTCAGAAATAAAACACACATGTCGGGAGAAGATTCGGATAGTATAAGATACCTGCTTGCAGACGAAATATCAGTCGGTCCTGTCTCCTTACCAAACCGAAGAAGGTGCCCTAACGGAAACTGGTCTCAGAATCAACACGTAGCTGACGAGACTTCTTTCATGAGTCTCTGAACTCTTCGCACTTCCAAGAAGGTCAGGTCAGACAACGCTGGCAGTGCAGCTGCTCACAGCCTGGGCATTTGCTGGGGTAGGACATTTTTTCGTGATTGACTGGTTTAGCTTAATCGCACCGTGTTACTGCTCGTGTGATTGCTAATCATCAGAAATCCGAGGCCCTTTCACATGTTGCAGTAAGAGAAGGGACTTGCAGAACAATCCTACAAGTAACAGATATATGAATGTAAAGTGATGCTCACCTCTCACAGGGCTGGGAGAGGTCTGGTAGAGGTCCTCGATGACTTGACTTGTGTCTCGAATCGATCACTTTCTGGCATGGACCACGAACTCTCGATGCGAGGGAAAGCACGAAAGGGGTGACAGAGGATTCTCCGAGGAAGTGTGCCCGCAAAGGAGGCTGTGAGAGGCCGCCTCCGCCATCTCTTCATCCAAAAGAAGCGCAGCGCATTGCCCGCATTGCGAGGGGCGCTGTGAACTCTTCGAGGGCGACAAGTGGCGGCGGGCCATGGCCTGGGCCCTTCAGGAGGTGCCAAGTCTCCAGGGCCCCGCTCTGCAACCCCGTCACGAACAAAGTCGACTACGGACGATCCTACTCGTCCTCGAGGGCAGCCAGGTGTCGCGCCCTCGTGGCCGGTCGAGCCAGTCGGGCCAGTCGGGCAAGTCGGGCCGAGCTCGTACGATGCCCCACTGGCCAGGCTAGCGCTGAAAGGTGTCGGCCAGGCGGGACGGGCATGCTGCGGCGCGGACACGTAGCAAGGCCATGTCGGAGCCTCGGAGCGCAGCGGCCTCGCGGGCTCATAAAACAGGTCGAGCGCCCCGCCATGTCGTCGTGACCACCAACCTCCACCATCATCAATCTCCCTCTTTGAGCCTCTCGGACGACATTTGTCAGGAGCAGTCGCACGACGAGATGAAACACATCCGCCGTCCTTTGTAAGAATCCCCATCGCTGCTGCTTTCGACGAGGAGCTGTGTATAAAGTCCCGAGGGGAAGTGGCAGAAGAGCTTCATTGCTCTTCTTTCGACGAGAACAACTGGATTTCCTCAGCCTCTTCTTTCAGTACTTCGAGTTCACGGTAGCGGAGTTTTTCGAGCGCGACGATGAGTCTGGACCAGCAGCAGAGGCCGGTGACATACGGCGACGTGTTTCCTGAGTCAGGGCGGCAGGGCGAGCCCGTCGCGTCGCAGCCCGTGACCCTCGAGGACGCCGCTCTCATGCAGAGCGCGGAGTCGCTCGCCTTCGGGCGCACTCAGAAGGCCGGGGCGGCGTCCGCCATGCAAGCGGCGGCGTCGCGCAATGTCGATCGCGGCCTCGTTGACAGGAATGCGCACTCGCTGCTCTCCGAGTACGGCATGAGTGTCACGCAGACTTCGATTCCCGGCGTCACCATGGACATCTCGTACGTCGCCGGCAGCCCCGTGCAGGGATCCACCATTCCCACTCCCACCGATCCCGGCATCATCAACATCGACGCCGTCACCATCGGCGAGGTAAGAGCCCCTTCTCTCGATCCTTTCTCGACACATTGTCGATTGTCGATTCGATTCCGAGTCGGATCGCTTCGTTTCGGTGTCGATCATCCGTCCTGCTGACCTGCATTGCATGCGTTTGGTGTATGTCCAGGCTTTGGAAGCGGCAGCCGTGGGAGCGGGCGACAAGGTTATCGACGAGAGTGATGCACGAGCCATACTGAGCGCTGAAGCGCGGGCGACGGGTGTTTCGAAGCCCGTCAGAGGTGGAGTCGGTTCAGTAGCGCAGTCAGCTGCAGAGTTGAACCATCGAGTTGTGAATGCCAGTGAGCAGACGACGCTCGCCGACGTGCTCATGGTAAGCGTCGTTATCAAGACATTGAATGCTGTGAAGGACCTGTAGGCGCATGGATTTTCTCATACCGAATAGCCTCGCTGTGAGTTGGCGCAGAGTCTAATTTCACGTCCTCATCTCATCTCGTGCATTGGATTGCAACAGGACGCTACGGTGGCATTGCCGGCGGACAAAGTGGTGACTCATGCAGACGCGGAGAAGGTGATCCAAGCCGAGATGCGGTGCAAACCTCATTCCGAAGGACTGGCTGCGGGCGGAGTCGCAGCAGCGATTGCTGCAGCGGCTGATCTGAACGAGAGGCACGGATTGATTCCACCAGCCTTGGAGCACATCAACCACAAGGCACCGGAGCCCTTGGGAAATGTGGAGGAAGTGGGCAAGTTCTACCCCGTGGACAATCTCTCCGCACCCAGTCCATCAGAACTCACTCGAGAGCAATCTGCCGACGATGGAGAAACCAGTCTTCTGAACAGCTCAGGCAGCAGCGACCAGCTTGCAGAGGATCGTCCCAAGAGGAATTACCATGAACAATTGGAAGGTCTGGATGTGCCCAGGTCCCCTACTCCTGACCACGATCGCGTGTCTGCCGACTAGGAGAGAGTTCTTCCCAGAATCGTGGATGACAAATGCTCTATTTCCCAACCTTCGAAAGATTTTTTCCACGAGCTCAGTTTTGGAGCTTCTTCTTTGTCTATGTACATAGGGAGTTTTGGTCATTGATCAGATCGGATATCGGCTCGTTGTCCTTGTAATATACTGCTTACGCGTTTGTACATGTAGCCACCCACGTGAGGGGAAAGGTTTAGATTGTCATCCATTCAGGTGAAAGATAGATAGAAACGGATTTTTTTCCAGCCTGGCCGGAATTATACTTCTACAGATTGTTTAGATCTTAAAAATAGAAATGAGGAAATTGCACTTTGAGTTACAGAATTGAGCATGAGCAGTTTATTGATAATTTGCTCGGAGTTATTGCAATAAAAGCTTGCCATGAATAATCTTTCCATCTTTATCTCTGTATAATGTGTTATATATAGATTAAATACGTGGAAATGAAGAGTAGCGATATATGTAACTATGAAATTTGTCTTGATTATTTCAAGTCTTTGAAATAACTAAGCACGTGAACAACTGTTAATGTAAAATTCCTACACTTTTGTTATGTTTACAATGCTTTTATTACGGTTTGATAGTTATGTACCCCACTTACATACTAATTAACTGCTCCGTCGAACTTGCTTCTGCCCCTCATTCAATTTTGAGTGGTGTGCTTCAAAGACTATTTAACAACGTTCCAGAAAAGCGCATATACTTCTCAATTATCGACACGCATACTATTATTTGAAAGTTACACTAACTCAATAACACAATTTAAATATCAGAAAACCGCACTTTCGTACACTTATAAGCTAATATCATATTCTACAACTAATAAACTAAACTATGATATAATCATATTCTGCAAACTTCTTGAACGTAAGGATAAATAATAATCTAAAATCTATGTCTATAAATTTCAAAAACCGCCAATAAAATGTACATTTAATAGTATGATGAAAATGTTTACAACTTTAACCCTGTCATTTACAAAATTTTAATTATTGTGAATATGTGAGCATGCAGCACTGAAGTATAAAAACCTATATGCAAAACTGGAATATCACAAATAATATCTAGACGCTGTTAATTAGATACAACATAATGTATGAATAAAGACGAGGAAACCGAAGAAGGGTTAAGTATGATTACATACAAGGAAATATTGATAGTATGATCAATGAGCAAAGTTTCAATCTTAGTAGTGTTCTTGTCCACACTTTGTCACTAAAAATGAAGAGAGAGATAAAGATAGGGTGTCTTAATTTGTTAACTAGTCATAAGTAGTATGCATCAGACATTATAGTCAAGACTACAAGTGTCTGAAGAAAGATGTGTTATCACATTTGGGCGACTAATCAGGTTAAAGAATTGCTAAATATGTATCAGTGATGTCATTAGCATTCGTCGGAATTAATTTGACAAATCTTCATTTTGCCCAGTCCCAGGGCGGTCTGTCAGCTTGCGAGACTGCCATGTGATCAAGAGATCGTGTGATCTGAGACAGCTAAAGCTGTCTCAGATCACACGATCTCTTGACAATTTATGACATTCTGTACCAGCATAACCGACGACTATTTCTAATGGAGCGGGAGAAAGCGCATCCAGACAATCGTTTTAAGGGAAGGGGTAATCTTTCCATAAAGTGGATGTTTCAGAGATCAGGCTTGTTAGCAAGACTAGCCTCATGTGTGCTAGCCACGTCCATGAATCTGGGGTTAAATGAAATCTTTCAGGTGAAGGTTTTCCTCAAACTCCAAACATGTCTTGGGTGAAATTCTGCGCTGTCTTGCATCGTGGAGATCTCAGAAGTAATAAGTATGAGCTCAACCATTGCAGTTCCGCCGGTTTGGTGTTTCCCGCATCATAGAATTTCAGATCTTTCATCAAATCTGCCATCAAACTGGACCACCCAAGAGTAAAAGGTCTCCTGGTAAAACATTTATATGGGCTTTGTTCTGATTTCAGGGGCTGGTCTGTGTTGAAGATCCGGTTTACTCTACTCAGATTTAATCAGGATAATTAGGAATTGGAGGAGCCTGCAAGAATGATTAACTCTAGGCTCATTCAATAACTCTCGTAATGAAACACTCATGGTCTCGGGGCCTGAGATTGTTGAGAAAAAACTGCAATCAAAGGAAAACTCAATCATGTACAAAATGTCCGACGCCTTTGAACCAAGCCTTCTTATTCCAAACGCTTACAATCGAAGGTTCGTGGTTTGTATGAATAAAGTCGTGAAATGCTTCATGAGTATGCACCTGCAGGTTGAAAGACAAACAGGCATGGTGCTAACTAAACTGTGAAAAGTCTAACTAAGGGAATGTGGTACTGATCATGAGTATATACTGATTTACATTCATTTATACAATGAAATACATGCAAATCTATTCACGAAGAATAAATAAAATGACAAAATATAAGAAAAATATATGAAAAATATTTCACCAATCTCAGAATCGAAGTTATAAGTCACTTTTCCTGGCAAAGGATACTTTCCGCCAGTCTTAATAGAGCATGGGATTCCAAAAATTTGCAAATGGAGTTTTGCAATATTTATTAGAAGCCGTAGAAAGGTTATTGTTACATAGTTTTGCAAACCCAAGTCAAATCCGCCACACTAGTACATTTAATCAACATCCGAGGTCTGTCATTTCATTACCAACAACATAATAACTAACACATTCATTGCTTGTTCACTTTCGTCTCTCTCCCCATCTGGTTCTGAATGTTCAACTTGTTTGATCTGGCCTGAATGCGCTCTCTGTTTCTTCGTCTTCTTCCTGTTGCAAAGTTACAGAGAATATAATCTTAGTAAATATTGTTAAGAAGTGCATAATTATATACACTTTGAAAAATTATTAAGATTTATTGTAAATATGTGAATTGACCATTGTATAAAATTGAAAACAAGGCAAACAAGTACTACACGAAGGATTTTAAAACTGGTATGTATTCTTGAAGAAAATATTATTCATACCACTTTTCATAATTGTATCATCACATTTTATATTACCTTAGATGGAGAGCAAGGACTTTCTGTCAACGCTTCAGTTGTAACTTCACTCTCTGCTTCAGACTCTAGGTGTTCCGCGTGCTCCACGCCAGCATGTGCAGGTCTTCCCACGACAGGACCCATTGGAACGTTCAACTGAACGGGAGTAGGCCTGAAAAAATATTGTTGTATGGTAGCAATCCTTAAGGAATATCCCTGAAATTTTTTCAACGTGTAGATCTTCGTGTTATTTGTGATTATTTATTCAATTGAGTTCAAGTAATTTCAAGTTAACTTATAATGTAAAAGAAATTTAGCTTTCACTAAATAGAGAAATTAATGTTCATGCAAGGAGCTAAAATCAATGGAATCATCAAAGAACTCTGAGATATTTTACTTCTCTCGAAAAGCACGTTGACAAAGCCATGAAAAAAAAGCTTACTTCGCCGAGCTGTAATTTGACTTCTCGTCTCACTCTTTCAAACCAAGCCTGCTCAATCGGTGTAAGAGCTCGAATTTCTCGAATCTCAAACTCATGTCTCACGAAGTGTTCAATTTGCTGCTCCAAATTTAGTTTCCGACTCTCCCAATGCTCTCGTCCTGCCTCCAAGTTGTGCGCAGCTTGCTCTTCTCTTCCACCCTGATGGGCTACATTGTCTTGGGCTTTGGGCACTGATAAGCGCTCCAAACGGAAGTATTAGAAGCGGTAACTTGTCGAGAGTTTTATAGAAGCCTTCTATCCTAGCCCTGGTGCTTGTTTACATCCTACTGAATGTTGTCACAATAATATAGTAATCCACGGCTAATCACATATTAAGTATATATATCGAGTTTGTCATAAAATTGAAATTAGTGTATCGTTACATTTACTTATCATCACTTTCGTATACCTACACCACTCCCAATACTCTGAACTGTGGAAGGTGTTGAAATAAATCGGAGCAAACTTTTGACTAGCAGAATATCATTTTCTCAGTCTCCAAGTTCTGATATCTCCAGCTTTTAATTTTAAGAGATTGTATATTTAGATCATAACTCCACAACCATCCTTAATAATTCTTTAGCACCTTCTTTTGTTCACAAACTCCTACAAATTCAATAACTTCAACAACTTCTAATGTATCACTATTTATGATTTTTGCGATATCAGCTGAAGACAAAGCTTCTTAGACATTGAGGACATGTTTGATATCTTTGTTATAATCTTCCTACTATATGATCCTTTTTAGACTACATACAATGAGTCGTATATACCTTGGACTGACGAAGGTCTGTAGCGAAAATTGGCACGACCCAAGTATGGACCACGTGGTCGCGTTATCAAATCTCGCCTCTGTCGACCCACACACAACACATGCGGTGCATAATGTAGTATTTAGTCTTAGCATTTCCACATCTAAGATAAGCTTCCATCACACTTCTGTCAAATGCTAGGGAATCTATGAATTAAACTATAAACCACTCATATGCTCATATCTGTCTCCCAATATATTGCTGATCATTATATTGGGAGACATGAGACGGAGTCGCCTCATCATTCAAATCCGTGACCGAATGCAAGCATACATCTATCTCCCCTACTCTCAGTGATCGTATCACTCAAAATCCAATCTTCCAAATTACCGTGTAGGGCCCTGAATGAACTTCATTATCCCGACCGAATGCGGTATTGGCTCCGATTGAAGAATTTTGAGCTGATCTGTTGGCAACCATAAATTGTAGCAGACGGTTAGAATGATGGGCAGGAAATACCTTTATCTACAACATAAAACAAGAGGTCTGAGGGATTTTATGATTGAGAAAGGTTATACAAGATCTAGAAATAAATATTCCGTTTTAAAATTTTTCTTTATCTGTTACATTTGTGTTGAAATCATGAAGATCTCATTGAAAATTCTCTAACAATATGATATCTGTACTTGAAGATTTATCTGTAACTACCAAAGATTGTGAAAAAAAAAGTGTTTGTGAGCCAAATTTTGTTGATAAAATACTATATATCTAGATATTTAACTTAAAAACATACCAGATATATTCAAAATAATAACAAGAGAGTCACCTATTTCGTATAGTGTTGTGAAGGCTCGATGGACCGACGGGCTGTCCAAGCTTGGTTCGATTGTTAGGAGGTAGAATTTGTTGTCCATTTCCATTGTTTCCTCCAGATCCGTCCTGTAATCGTTGGTATGAGCATCAACATGCTGTATTAGAAGAAGATAATCAAAACGATCAATTTTATACTCCTTGATGAAAGACGGTAAATAAGGTTCAATTTTTTCCAGAGTATGAATACATAAAATAGATCTAAACATTATTGGAAGAAAATCTCTGTATTTTATCAGTAGATGTATGAAGACTTTTGGAAACCTCATAATTCTAGAGATAGCCAGGTCCTGTGTTTGAACATGCCTATCCAAACTTCTAATCAATCTGTAGTATGATTCTGCATAAGTGTGAATTGCCGTATTTTGCATATGAAACTGAGAAGTTTATAAGATATCAACAAACTAGAGATAATGTCAAGCTAGGACCACAAAAGATATGAAGAAACATATGAAGATAAGTCAAGAAACTTTTACAAGATTTCTCTGCAGATCGTAAATGGATAGATACAAATGTGCTGTTTGAGAAACGCAGACTGGACTCAAAGTGACATTCGACGAAACTTTTGTGAGAGAAATGTTAACACTTGCATAAGAATAAGAATAAATCTCACCGAGTTTGAACCTTCACTCCAAGAACACAGTCTTAGAGTCGTATCAGTATCGTCTCTCCCAAACCAAGATGAAAGTGTCAACGTTGTATCAACGTCAGCATTTGAACTAGAATTTCGTGTCATGCCCACGAAATCCTTGGTTATGGTTTCAGATACTATGTTTGCAACGTTTGTTCGCAATTTAAATATAGAGCAATGCTGATCTCTTGAATACTCAGTTGTCCCTCCTTTCGAGACCTACACAGAGAATGGAAGACACCAAACATATGATAATCTAAAAAGTATGATTCTTCAACCAATCTTACATCAAGCCCCCCAAATGAGATGTGATACTATACAAACCACACGATGCAGTAGATAAATATAAACATTTCTAATGGTTTTGTTTTGTAATTATCAGCTTAAACTTCAAATCAAACTTCTAAGTACTCACAAGAGGAATATGGTTGATATTTTACAGGGTTCTCATGTGGACATGCATGCCATATGTTATAATTCGAAATCCGACACCTTCCACGGAAGAATTATTACCTGGTAGATTTCTCCTAGGAATAAGAGGAGCATTTAATTGAAGATAATGTTTCTTACTTCCTCATGTGTCTAACCAATCAGATCACCAAAATTCAAAAGGGGTTCCTTGAATGTAATCCGGCGACAAGTATTCGAGGACAACCATTTGCAATTATGTACAGAATTCAAATGATCATAAAATCATTATAATAGAATATAAGAATATGATACATCTATATCGTTAAATATTGCAACGGGACATCAATTATGATTTATATGGTGGTTCAAGATGCTAATCATAAAGTTTGCATCAAGTAGACATAAGTTTAACCACCATCAAGTGGTTGGAACGTCAAGACATGTTACTCTATATATTCATCCGTTATGGCTGCGTAATACCAGCAATTATAAAGCTATCTTTCATATTAGATAACCATATAGATGAATATTATCACTGTTAAGACGGTTCCACACGTTAAGATATGTATCTCTAGATGATGATCTGCGCGAGCGTCGGACTCTGCAAATCAGCCCCAGGACGAAAATATGAAAGCGATCACTCGCAGTCAGGTACGACAACGACTCTATTGACTGATGAGGTGCTTCCGCACAACGAGTCTGGACTGAAGGTGACATCCAGTTTACTCTCAACCAACAAGTCGAGGATTCAATTGAGTCATATCCCGAGGGAGCAGTGGATGTTGTTATTAAACTAGAGGAAAGAATATACGAGACAGAGAGTCGTCACTATTAGACACGTGTAACTCCGTATAGTAATTAATAAAAACTGTTTGATACGGACAGATTTAAAGAATAAGTACATATACGAATTCCAGAGAGTTATCTCAAAGAGCTATCTGACACCAGCAGTTCTTATTGAAGATTATCTGCATGGATTCATTGACTTATATGTGAACACATCAAGCGAAAAAACAATAATACAAAGGGCATACACTTTTGTACACTTATTAGCAACATAGTTTTAATCATTGACAGAAGCTTAGATTACTCACCCCTGACATGAAGTTCTGTTCCTGCAGAACTCTTTTACCGTACTGAGTAGACCGCTCTGGCTGTCTGAGTTGAGGTTGTTCATAATGATCGCTTGACATCGTACCTGTACTCGATTTGACACCATCATCACAAATAAAAAATCCTTTGCTTTGAGAGGAAATCAACGGGAACTTGCGGTTCCCATTTGAATTCTGCGCTGAGATTCTCGCTAACTATGCACAAGAGGAAAATTCATTCAGAATGGAAGATTCAGAAGCACAAGAGACTCAACTAAGAGGAAAATTCATTCAGAATGGAAGATCAGAAGCACAAGAGATTCAACCAAGAGGAAAATTCATTCAGAATGGAAGATTCAGAAGCACAAGAGATTCAACCAAGAACATACAGTTTTGCAAGACGACACCTTTCTTAGACTCTTGAGTCTTTGAATAGTGTGATCATATGAACAGATTAGTTCTTGCGATATCGCTCCACGCCTCCGATCGATGAAAGGAAGAGATCCAAACGTTATGAGTTGGAACTTGCAGTGACTTTGGGTCCACTTTATACTCAGGAATTCTGGGAAACCTTGTCTATCATAAATGAAGGAAGTGATGTTTCATCTGTCCATGTGGAAAGTATTGTCGTTCAAATCGTCATGTAAACAACATGAATAGATACAACATGTGGCATTGTGGTTGGTATGAAGTACTTTTCTCAAGCTGGCCAGGTTGCCAACATTGGAATTCTGTGATGTGCGTGTGCCACCGGAGTATGTCATAAGAAAGTGATGATGCTCATGTGACAACTGCAGATAAGACGACGTGCAAGTGGAGGAGTTCAGATTGTGACGGTACTTTTGTTCTCTACAAGATGGTGATACATTTTAACCCCCAAGGGTCTGGTTGAAATGGGACTCCAATTTTATTTTACTTTTACCTGAGTGAATCATCCAAGTTGGTACGAAGATGACATATGTAATAGGTGATCCTCCACTCGACCCGAACTAAAAATATCAAGGCATATATGGTCTCTGGGCGGCTTCCAGAACACAAAAAGTTCTTTTCCACGCACCTCCGGCGGATTACTCAAGTCCAATCGATGTCTCTCGAGTCGTGAATACTGTTTTAATGAATTTTTCAATGTAAAGTACCTTTTATAAAAACCACAAATGTATATGTTGAAATTGAAATAGTGCAATGTACAGAATATAAAGAAAATTTCAGTAAACCACATTCTGAATTCAAACATTTGATTGAATGCAATTATTTCGAAACTTATCACAAAGAACCACTAAGGTTTGGTGAACAAGTTTTCAGATTAAAAAACATGTTTCTTTCTTCCAAACCTTTTGTTGAACACAAAAATTTTGATGTTCATTTGTGATCCAATCAAATGAAAAACTTGCGAAGATGTGAAATTAAAAATATGTCATAGAAATACACATGTCATGTTGATTTTTTACGAGCTCATATTCATGATTTTATATTTATGAATATTTTTTAGTCATATTTATGAATATCTTTTAGTCATATTTATTAATTTTTATAGAAAACTGAAATTTTTAACATTCTTGTTTGGCTTAAGACTTTTCTTAGATTTTTATTATGTGATGGTAATGAAGTTTTATTCAACTTGTATTAATTAGAAAACATATATATATATATATATATATATATACTGTTATGAAAACGGTATATGATTTGAGATGCAACAAAAATGTTTTATTTTTCTTATCCCAAATTAGATCTGAATCCTGGATTGATTTCTTTTAAGATTCCATAAAAATTGACAAGTGGACATAAAAGTGAAAAATACATTCAACATTTCCTGTATATTATTGATTTCGAAAGATTTTGATTTTCAGAAGATTTTACTTAACAGATTGCATTACCGAGGATGCAAAGTAAAGGATTGTAACATAATCATGCATAATATAATTAATCTTTTACTATTTATATTTGTGTTAACGAAAACTTATGTATATGGTTGGTTCCTTCATTTAAATTTTCATTTCTCTTGCATGCGTATGTTATTACTATCATAGGTGCAACAAGTCTTTATAGGATGTAGATTTAGAACATTCGAGATAACTAATTAATATGTTAAGAGGGTTCAAAAATGGGAAATGAAAAAAGATTTGATACTCATTGCAAACAACTAAAATGAGACAAATTTGTAATTATGATCAAATATAAGATAAAGGTGGAAGAATTGATCATTACTAATTCTACTCGTAATGGTACTGTTGAAAGTATCGTTAATCATATTTTTGGATAGTTGGAAAAACTTTGTTGGAAATTTTGGATTTTGGTACAGAAATCACGTTTTTGTTTTCTTATGATTGGGATTTTATGAATTTTCATGAGTGTGCATTATAGCTTATCATACCACACAATATATCAATGTCATTTAATCTAATTCAAAAGACTATCTTACTTGTATTGTTTTCCTCAATCGACTATAAACAAGGAATATATTGGAGAATAAGCCGTTCTACAAAGCTATAACAATGGCCAGCGTTATATTGCAAAAAATCACGTTAGATGATGCGGTATCATATGCTCCTATAGATTATTTAATTTAACTAGTTTTCATATCTTAATTGATGTAAGATATAGATTTCATCGCATACTATTGATGAAAAATATATCCTACAGCAAGTAGATACTTAATGAGTTAAGCAAAAAAATAATCATTTGCACCCCAATGACATTTATGTATTGCGTTGTTACATGACTGTCATATCAAGGTCACTAGAAAAACGTATTATCTTGGAACTAAGTGGTTCTTAAAAATCCCCTAAAAGAAATTGAATATAAACGTCCACGACCTTGTTTCAAGTAAAATACCATGGATTACTTTTGGATTCAGTTTCATGTTTATTTTTGGAATATACAAAAGTTGACCTTCATAGGTAGGAGATTCAGGTGTGGATGATGAGAAGTATAAACGAATCGGTGCTACTCTTGATAAAATAGTCGTAATCCGAGAGAACCTTCAACTTTCTCGACCTGATGGGAATTCAAATGTCAACGTGGATTTCTATTGACATTTTGAGTTATCATAGGATTCTTCATGGTGATTGGCGGCCATGGTGTTCACCAGTTTGACTGAGATGAGTTTCTTGGCATGGGAGTGCGCTGGCAGAGCGCAGAATGTCGAATTTCACTGTTGTTGGAACTCCAATGTCTGAATAGCTGCTCAGACATGGAACTCCAACATTGGCGTGTGTATACTGCTCACGTCTGTCGAGGTGACGCACGAATTGTGACTTCTTCGTGTGTTGCTCAACGACTAACTTGAAGTAACGTGCAGCGATGTGTGTTTGTGGGCTTGTCTGTTTTGACCATGCCTTCTGAATCCGACTTGCAGTTGTTCATGTCAATACGTATCTCTCTACTCTCCGTCTAGTTTCTTCCTATTAGCTTGATTTGATTTGATAACTTCTTTCGATTTGTTTCTAGAACAAATATGTTCAAGCCATTACGTTTCTCTGTACGCTCCGTCTAGTTGCTTCCTATTAGCTTGATTTGATTTGATAACTTCTGTCGATTTGTTTCTAGAACAAATATGTTCAAGCCATTACGTTTCTCTGTACGCTCCGTCTAGTTGCTTCCTAGTAGCTTGATTTGATTTGATCACTTCTTTGATTTTGCTTCTAGAACAGAATTGTTCATGTCCTTACGTTTCTCTCTATGTTCCGTCCAGTCTTTTCCTAGTAGCTTGATTTGATCCTTTCCTTTGATTTTCGACTTTGTGATAATATTTGAAAATAAAATTGACTGTGTCAATTCTTTTATTTTACTGAAATTGGCGGCTTGATCATAATTCATCGCCTAATCTGAATTCTGCAAATTTTTTCCAAAATCTGTAATAGGAATGCTACAATATCAGTTTATCATACATCTTGTTAGTTTCATAACGTGTTGTAACTTGATGATATTTTCACATCTTTTTTTCATATCCAGATTTGAGGTCATATTAAATTCTATGCTTTTTATTGCTGAGATTACTAACAGATATTTCAACCTTTTCTTGTAGCCGTATACTTCTCTGCTTTCTTTTGATGAATCTTGCAATCCCAGTTCTTCGGTATAAATCATTACACACATCACGGATATTAATAGATATGAAACGTATGAAAATGTGGTGCTTTGTTTGTAACTTTGATGTAGTTCAGTGTCTTGAGAATGTGTAAAAATGCAACAGTTAGATCTCCTTGACTATATTGTTGTACTGGTTTCCATTGCCAAGATGGTTTATTATGAGACCAACGTCTCTACAAGTTTCACTTCGTTTCTTTGTCAAACCAAAATCTATCGATTCTTAACTTAAACCTGAAATCGAACCTCGATGTGATCCAATGTCTTAGCAGAAACACGTTGTAAGGCTACAAATTGTAGCTATTTATAATGTATTTTGCTCTACTAGATTCAATTTCGAATTTTATCTATCAGATTCCAATATTTTTTTACTTAATAATTCTAGCGGTCTTTTATTTTCACAATGACGAATTGTTCTATGAACACTCAATTTCCATCATCTAAAGTTATTTTGATTTCAACTGATCATTCGGAATTTACAAATAACTCTGGAATGCTACCATGACAAATGATATTCTATCTTATGACAATGTAGTGAGAATCACCGATCACACCAACTGAATAAACTTGTGATTTGGGATCTCTCTTTGTTTAATGTCAGATTCTTTTAGTTGACCAAAATCACTCGCTTCCTTAAACTTCATAAGCTACCGCCTGAGTAATCATATTTTTTTTGACTCATGCAGATACAAATTTGTCGTTAATTTTAGAAAATCTTAGACTTATGTTAAACTATGAAAATTGTAGCGTGTCAATCTATATCAACCATCCAAAATAAAATATGGTATGGCTTTTCTTATCTTTGCCTTGTAACTCTATTTAGTTATTGCTTCAATTGAGTAGCTAAATCACGGTCATTTGGATATAACTAACAAGTGATCAGATGTCATGATTACTGATGGAATGAATTACATCATGCTTTAGTTATCAATTCTCGTAGATATGCATGATTTTAAAGTGATCCACCACCAAATCATGCGGAATCTGATAAATGTGTAGAATTGGTAATTTCAAGGAATTTGACATCGTTTGAAACTCAGATTAAAACAACTGATTACACTGCTTCGACTCATAAATTTTATCATTGATATCAGTATGTCCAAGATGCGATAAAGAACTTGCTACTATGTCTGAGAAGTAACTCGACTCGATTTCAACTTACCATTCTATTCAATGTATAGAATGGTAAGTTGAAATCACCTAAACTCGATATCATTTTTCCATATTCACCATTAGTGCTTTATGATAGTGATTTTACCTAGAGAATATCTTTGATGTTATATAGAAATAAAAATAAACAATTGCAGATTGAAATCAAGAATTCAATTCATTCCTTTCATTGCCACATTTAGTGAATTTTTTTCACCATACCAAGTAGAAAGAGTTTCTATGAATAGCTGAAACCCGAGATTTCAGTGTTGATGCAAGTTGGAGAGTTCAAGTATTCTTAGCACGAATTAAATGTTTTTGAAGAATGGTATAACATGGCTTAATATTAATGAGAGAAGAATTTATCCCAGTTCGCCCGAATCATGCAGATCAGTGCACATGTGGAACTGGCTCCTCAACTTACGCAGCCCTTCCTTCGTTGAACCCAACCGTTCCATCAAAGTCCACGAGTCACTGATGGTTTGGTAGCATTACTCGCTGGCGGCCTTGAATTTGGCACTCACTGTGTCGGCGAAGGAGTAGGGCGATGCCACATCCTCGAACTGCAAAATCGGAGCAGACGACGAGAGTGCTCCGATTGCAATGTGGGGATACTTGAGCCGCATCCATGCAGCCAACATGCCTCCATAGGACCCACCGAACAGCACCACGGGGCAACCTTCAGCTGACAGGTTCCGCCGCACGAAATTTATCCATATTTGGACTTATCTGTAGCAATAGTTGGACCGATCATCTGTAGAATCTTGATTTCGATTTCTTTGTGAGGTCTGAGATATTCAGACCTTCCAGAAATTCGCACGCGCCGGTTAGGGCACGGGCGGGGGTTTGGAAATAGTTTTCAACCAGCAATTGACGCGTCTCGGTTTCACCTCACTAACTGCGTCATTGCCCCAAGCGCAAAGATACTCCTTACGTTTTCTATCAGCATGTATATGATGCATTTGGTACCATGTGTTCCCTTCTCCTTATGGTTTAAAGTTTTTATGATGTTGTAGACGTCCAGCCTCACAATCTAGATCGACAGGCGTCCATATTTCACAACACTGATTTACTGTTGAAGATTTTCTGATACTACGTGAAAGCTGCCTACAGACAACGATCATAACACTGTGTTACATGGAAGTTAGCATGATTTCAAGAAAAACTTCTGCACATAATCATGGATGTACGAGCCATGATTGTTTTCTCAACTCTCTTGCAACATATATGTTTGGTATCGTGGGTGCAACGATGTAACAATTTGTGTTTGTGGATGAACTGCACTACACTCGGTGGCAGTCCATGGACTTTTCCAGTTTTCCAGTATCATAGCTAATGTCTATATTGCATTTAGTTAAAAATCAAGGGATATTAAAGAAACCATATGAGATCACTGAAGAATATTAAACAATTATAAGTGAATTGTACTAATCAGTTATATTTATCCAGATTTGGACACGTTTGGATTCTCAATGTGGTTAACTGTAGGAGAGGTTTAATTTATACATGATCCTCAGCTGCAAATTTAGATCTTACTTGAAGAACAAGTATTTGTTCATTGTAGAGAAGGAAATGAAAGTGAAATAAAAGAGAAGAAATCAAATCTGAGATGATTGACAGAAGTTGCACAACTTAGTTCACTAGGATTCCAACCTTGTTTTGTGATTGGAGAGGGGTGGCTATCAAGGGGATTTAGGGAGTCAGACTAGATTCTCTGAAATTGAATCTCACACTCATAGAGTTCTAATTGCATCATCAAGAAGTGTATGCAGTGACAAGTGTTTCTATGGATTCATTCATTTTACACCAGTCAGTTTGCTGGTATGTGTTAGTTTATATTCAAACACATTCACAACGGAGGGGAAATTTGATTGGAAGTTGTTGGAAAATGCACAACATCAAAGTTTAAGATTTGATCTGGAACTATGAAACACATCATCCTATTAAAGCATGAACTTACAAAACAATTGTATCTATACATTTGCAAATCCTACCTTTCCGACTATACAGAAACCTCTTTACTGATTACACATTTCCACAGCTTTACAACTTGCAGTTTCCAACAGCTTGAACAAATTACAACCTCTTAACGGGAAGACTTCGATCGGTCACTTTTTTGAAAACAGCCTAGCTGTAGAATTTGAGATCGTGTAGCACCATCAGTGATCCCAAGATGACCGTGGCGATCACGAATTCAACGTACATAGATTTCGTATCCTTCGAAGTCTTAGACTAGACTTTTCATGATCCTCGTTTTCACACCGAAACTCTTCCATTCTTCGCTCTATTATTGCGCACCAAATCTTTAAGTCTAGCGTCATCGAGGCAAATCCATGTCGTTGACAGAGAGTTGTGGGGAGATAGCTGACAGTTTTGGAGAGCATCCATATCGCCATTGTTGATTTTCACATAGAGAAGCATCTAAGGAGCCAGCTGCACGACACAATCCTCGGCTGTGGGAGTTTCTTCTCTTCATGGGAATTCCTACGAATTGTGGTGAGATAGCTGACAGTTTTGGAGATCATTCATATCGCCATTGTTGATTTTCACATAAAGAAGCATCTAAGGAGCCAGCTGCACGACACAATACTCGGCTGGGGGAGTTTCTTATCTTCATGGGAATTCCTACGAGGGGACGAGTGGAAAATGCTCGTTCTGCTTTCAACCGCAGGTTCTGGTTTCGTATGAGGCCGAGGAGCCCCAAACCCGACGAGAACTCCAACATTCGGAGAAGATGGGATGTTCGTGCTTCTCCTTGCCGTCACAGACTCACGAGGAGATCTCACTCTCCATCTCCAGGCTCGAGGAACGAATCTAGATCTCGTTCTCGAGGTCCAGAGTCGGGACGCAGATGGCGCCGTCACAACGATATTCCACACTCGCCAGCACGGAGGCCATACTCGCCTCCACCAAGCCGTCACACATCTGGACGAAATAGATATCAGAATTCAGCCGAGCAGCGCGGATATGGACATGGAGCTGAAGGCCTCACACGACAACATTCCCGATATTCAACTTGCCCAAGGAAGGGCCATTATTATGGCTCGTTTCCTCCATCGTCACTGGCAGGGCAAGGGAGGTCCAGATCTCTATTTTCTCCCCGACGCCAAACCTTCAGGCATAGCAAGTGGCATCCTTCAAATTTGCCGTTTCCAAGTGGGGAAACTGTAAGATCGAGAGCAGATGCTGTAGGCCCTCCAAGGCTCCAGAGGTCTGGATGTAGCCCTTGTTCTGTAGAGAGCGGAGAATGCGTAGACTCTGAAAGAGGAGGATCTGAGACGAGTGACAGCGATGTTTGTTCAAGGCACGAAGACTCTACTCACTCTCCGCCCAAGTACAAGGCCAGACACCGATACCCGAGTTCGGTTAATTACGAATCGAGTACTGTCTTTGTGGGTAACTTGCCACCTCAAGCTGCAGAAAGAGAGCTCAGAAACCATTTTTCTGTGGTCGGAAAGGTCTTGAGTTGCACCATAGTCTTGGATCCTAGGACAAGATTATCACGAGGCTATGGCTTCGTCGAAATGGCCTCCCCGGAAGCGTCCAACAGATGCATCGAGCATCTGAATTACTCTAACTTTCGAGGTAGATCTATCACGGTCCGAAGGGCTCATCGACGTTCTCCATTTCCTATTTCATCCGAGCATCTGGACATTAAGAATATCGAGGATTTGCCAAGCGAATCCCGTTGTGATGCTAACTACTAGCATGGGTTCTATGAATACAGATCTCCCCCTGGAGAAGCTCTTTCTTCTGTGGTCACCAAAATTAGATCTAATCGAATTCCTTCATAGAACTTAGGAAAATTCACGGTTATAGACTAGATGGATGCAGGGACGAAAAACTTCTTTCCCATCTCATATGACAAATATCTATTCCTTTTTTCATGATTGGCTTTAGCATCCATATCGAATGAAGATGAGTACATGACAATCAACTATGTACAATTTATCCGAATTGTTTAGATAAGAAAGCTACTTTTCGTTCATCATACGCAGGCTATTATGCTTGCGAACATGCTGGCCCTATCCTTTCATTTCATGTGCTCATGGAAAAATGTTTGTGAGTTGATCAACAAACTCGTTTATATCGATTTCGAAAAATGGACATATAAAATTTTCTGGTTTTTATATATATTTTCACTTCTGTTGAGACCCACAGACACGGGTAAGTAGCCGTACAAGTTCCGTGCACGATTTTCACAATGGGTTGATTTAGACTGTGCACATGATGTTGCTAGAGGTTTGGAAGCTAGGACCTGTTAAGGATTTACGAATCCCGGTCAAATATGGTCCAGTGCAGCAATCGAGCCTGGACGGTAGAACACGGCAGGGTCAGGTTTGAATCTCAGTACCATTCGATTGATAAGGTGGTTGATCGAAAGATTGTGATGCCCAATTACCGTCTGTATCCTCCTACATCTTCACGGAAGTGAGATTCACAGCTGGATGTCCCTTGGCTCAACGGAAGTGTTCAAGAGAACACAAATCTGCCATGCAACGGCTTCCTTCCTTAACTCTTTGAACACGGCAGGTAAACCTCTTTCACAACCACCTTTCGTGAGGTAGTTCCTTTCATTCCGGGGATCGGATCCAGAGACCCGAAGGTTGTGATGTGGGGGCTTGCGGGTCCCTTTCGATCTCCTATTGGAAGGAAAAAAGGCCAGAATGTCAGAGATGTCCCGCATCATCTGATGCTACTGCCAACCATGCATGCATGTGGCATCTCTACGCAGACTGGTAGCACTATTTTGTTGTTGCCAACAAAATAGTGCTACCAGTCTGCGTAGAGAGTTCCTGCTGCAGTGTGGTCGGTCGGAAGTACGTCTTTCAAGCTGGCCTTCCCTCCCAACACTCTATACGTGTGATGAGGATATGCTGCGTTGTAATGGTTGGTACGAGGTTCTTTCGTGCAGTCTCACGACATTTATTTCAGTGAAGAGTATATGAACAGATGTCATTTGAACCAATGTAGACATCATTGGATCAAATGACCAAAACATGTATGTACGTTTGTTGTGCACTTCCCTCCCAACACTCTATACGTGTGATGAGGATATGCTGCGTTGTAGTGGTTGGTACGAGGTTCTTTCGTCCGGTCTCAAGACATTTATTTCAGTGAAAAGCATATGAACAGATGTCATTTGAACCAATGTAGACATCATTGGATCAAATGACCAAAACATGTATGTATGTTTGCTATGCACTTCCCTCCCAACACTCTATAAGTGTGATGAGGATATGCTGCGTTGTAATGGTTGGTACGAGGTTCTTTCGTCCAGTCTCAAGACATTTATTTCAGTGAAAAGCATATGAACAGATGTCATTTGAACCAAAGTAGATATCATTGGATCAAATGACCAAAACATGTATGTATGTTTGCTATGCACGTGCACTTCACCCATTGTTCCATTCGATGTTTGGCCAGAGTAACATACATGTGTTACTTTAGTTGTTACCTCGTCTAGATTAAATAGGTAAGAATCCTTAAAGCTTTATGCTCATGTTTGTAGATCACTTCCATACGAGTTTCACCTTATTTTATAATCCTAACTTCAATAAAGAAACTCTTCACACTTACATGCACAAAAAATTTTACTCTTTTTATCTCAGTAAAATGGCAACACCTTAGTCAAAAGAAAAGAGTTTTTTTTCTATTTATGAATACTAGGCAACAACATTCCTATCATAAGTGATATCAACAGTATATCTCAATCTCCACCAAAGGAAAAACGTGATACCACCAATAACGTGATATCATGATAGTCCGTAAACTTGAGGTTTTTATTTTTTTATTGAAGCTAAAATTAGTCTTGACTTTTGATTATCATGACCTTCATTTACTTATTTTGCTGATTGAATTTAAATTTACTTTTTTCTTATTTTTAGTTAATTTGATAAGCTTTCAGCACTTCTTTTATTATTGATTTTGGTTAATTGCATCTTTATCATTACCTTCACTCATCATATTTTAGGTTTCAGACTGATATTTTTTTTCATCAAAGTTGTTGCTCATCATTTTTTTATTAATTATTAATGAATGTATCAGTTTATAAAATTATTGTTTCTAAACTCAATGAATATTATATAGATGATTTATATTTTGCAAATATTATTTTAAGTTGATTATTAATCAAGGAATTCAAGTTTGGATTTATTTTAGCTAATATTATAATTAATTAATCTACTTTGCTTGTAACTATATAAAAAATTGATCACATAAATTCAGTAATTTCATGAATATATTTACTTTAAAATTGAACAAAAAAATGATTATAACTAAATTTTCAATAAATTATAATCAAATTTCACAATTAAATTTTTTTTTAACATCAAAACGTGTAACAATGCAAATTGAAAAATTATTTAAATAAAAAATATAAAGATTTAAGATACATAGAATGATTTTACTTTTTAATACATAATTTAATCTCATAATCTTCACTAGCTATAAAAATATTTCATTAAGTATAATGAGACAACATCTCATTTTGATCATTCATTCCACTTTGGTGCGTTAATAACATGGCAAATATATTTAACAATCATTCTTTTCGTGTGATTTGTTCAATTTTTTTTTTATTGATTCTTGTTTCAAATAATGTTATTTAGTTGTTGTTCTCTACTAATACATTCAATCTATACTTGACAAATATACAAATTATTGACTTGTCATTATTAAATAATACATTTATAGTTTATATACTAAGCACAATTATTGCTGATGTGATAATTATTAATAATTCATTTTTAGTCAAACCTTTTTTTTCTTGAATAATCTTCTATTTTAATTTTAAATGAATAAAAAATTACAAATTTCACTATATTTAAGATGCACCGATCTAGTTGCTTATACATTTGGATTTTTAAAATTCATCAACTAGACATTTTTAAAAAATAAATTCAAATTGCTTTATATGATATACATATTATTTGTTCAATCAAATGCTCTATTTTTGAAATATTTATGATTTCAAGTATTTTTCTTAAGTAATTCTATAACTCAAATATTTCATGATTAGTTATCGAAGAAATAGTGAAAAAAATACTCGTTAATTGATTGATGAATTTTTTTCATATATACATATTTTTGTAATTGTGACACATGATATATAGATAAATTTAAATATTTAACAAGAGTTCTATAGCACATGATATTTCATCAACATTTTTTATTACAAAAAAATATAATTAATACAAGTTTTAAAATTTTATGTTTCTACAAAAGATTAATTTTTTTTCATAGATAATCAAACATGATAATTTATTAAAAATATCCAAATCCTTGCTATGAACATTTGTATGAAATCCGAATACATACAAAATTTCATGAAAAATACTATCGGTTTGTTAAAAATTATATTAAGAAGAAAAATAAGAATTAATATTTTATAAAAAAATTAAAAAATTATATTGATGTAAAGAAAATTTTGTTGATAAAACTCTACTACCCCACTCCCTCATCGGAAGGACGACGGAGTCCTCACAGCGAAGTCGCAGGTTCAGCGACTCCGGCTGCCACCACCCCTCACCCTACCAGCGACCCGTCAGCGATTCCGGCGGCCACCACCACCCCACCGCCAAACCCACCGGACGGACGACGGGGCCCTCGCAACGGAGTCGCGGGGTCAGTACCTCGGCGGCAACCACCCCCATCCCCTCCCTCCCCAACCCACCGGGCGGACGGATTCCGGAGCCCTCACACAGGAGTTTGTGGCAAGCGACTCCGGTGGGCATCACCGACCCCACCAACCCACCGGACGGACGACGGAGCCCTTGCAGCGGAGTCGCAGGGTCAACGACTCCGGCGGCCACCACTCCTTCCCCCAACCCTCCGGACGCTCCGGATGACGGAGCCCTCGCAGCGGAGTCGCGGGGTCAGCGACTCCGGCGGCCAGCAGCCTAACCCTCTCCGCAACCCACCGGACGGACGGATTACGAAGCCCTCGCAGAGGAGTTTAGGGCCAGCGACTCCGCCAGCAACCACCCCCCTCCCCAACCCACCGGACGGACGGATTACGGAGCCCTCGCAGAGGAGTTTAGGGCCAGCGGGCACCACCACTCCCTCCCTCCCCTCCGGCGGCCACCTTCCGGACGAACAGTCGGATTTTGTCATTTGTGAATGATATTGATCAAAAGCTTCTCTATTTTAAAAAAAAGTAATCAAATTTGATGGAGGTCTGGAATGAAAAATCTACATGAACATCTCACCTAGCATTATAAGCTAAAAAATAAAAGAAAGATCAAGTTTTGGTATATCATCAAGATTTTTATCAATTTGTCATAATTTAGTCATTAGATTTCATATGAAAATAGGAAAGAAACTTGAAAATCATACAACAAATGTTCAATAACCCAAAGATATGGAAGTATGTATTAAATTATGTTTAAAGGTGATAAAATTTTCAACAATATAAATCAAGTAATTCATAATCAACTGATATATCAACATTATATTATATTTCGAAACAACAATATAAACATATCACAATCAATATTCTATGTGATAAAAAAATTATTTGTTAGAAAATAATTTTGTGAAAAGAGTTAGCATAATAATTACAGTACGTCAATCACAAAAACAATAACAACTTCACCATTTGCTCAATTGCATCAATATGTAATTTATGGAATTCATGATTTATGCAAATTTCAAATGCAATTTTTGAAATCATGAACTGTAACACTAGGGCTTAGAGAGAAGCTCACTCGAAGATAGAAACGTAAACTCTAAAGATGAGAGATACCAACAATGGTTCTACTCTCCGTTATATAGCTCTCACCAACAAGTACAGGGTGATAAGATCTGATCCCCACCATCCATCCCACTCCTAGTGGATGGATGACGTGGCGGATAACCCTAACAAGCACACGGATCGCTGATGTGGCACATCCAACTAACACACTCAATCCTTAACTCCAAGCACACGGATTGCTGACGTAACACTGTCAACTAACACATTCACTCTGTACCTACAAAGTGCGCGGATCGCTGACGTGGCAGCTATGACTAGTGCACACTAAAGTATCTACATCAATAATTAGAGTAATCTCTATTTTAGTTCTAACTAACTAAAGATGGTTACATGAACTCACACAAAGTATTAATCATTATTATAGGAACTCATTTTATTAGTATGTTTTGTAAGTACTTGTTTGATTTTTTCAACACAAAAGTAACCATATCGATTGCCTATCATATTCAAATTCATGAGCTTGCCAACAAAATTAAATATAAATAAATATATGCTACATGCTATAGTATCAAATAAGTAATCTACTTTTTTTTGACAGAATTTGCACAATGTAATCTTCATTTTATTTTATGTATAGTATTTATCCAAAAAATTCATCAAATTTTACAAGGCTTCATAAAGGATAGAAGTTTTTTATAAAATTAATCATTATCAACAATGTTTTGGAGCATTTTCATAAAATACTACATCAAGAAAAAGAAATTGGCTCATTTTTAAAATTTAGCAATTTTTGTTTAATTTCAAATCAACAAATATAATATCTACTTTTTAATCGCAGATAGTTTATTTTTTACATATGAGATCATGTTTGATTATTTTTGAAAAATATTCTTTCATAGGAAAAAAATTTTAATATAAATTTTTTAGTATTTGTATGATATTGAAACGTGTTGATAAAATATCATGTAAGTTAAAAATTCTATTTTAAAATAGTACATTATATTTTTCATGTATCTCAATTGCAAAAATCTACATCAAAATTGAAACAAATATCAATAAATGAAAATCATTTTTATTATCAAATTTGATACTTGATAATGAGTATTTTTGAGATTTTAAAAAATATTAAATAAATTCTTCATGTAATAATGATTTTTTAGAAATTATTTTGATTTAATTATTTGAAATAAAGGATTAATTTATTTTTGATATTTTTATTATATGTTTATGTATATTTAATATTATGAAATAAAAATATTTTGCTGTTTGAACTAAGTATAGTTTTTTTTTAATTTTAATGTTACAATCAAATATTATTTTAAAATTTTGCACATAATGGTCAAACTAGATTGAAATAAATATATGAATAATTAGTGTGATTTTTTTTTGTTCGTAAAAGACTTGTTTTTTTGAACTCTTCTAAAATATAGCACAAACCTAATGATAAAATCTACATAAGATGCATTTTTATATGTTAAATTTTATATAACCATAATTACCGGTATTTTTTATTTCATTTTTTTTTTATAAAAAACAGATTGAATGTGATTTGTGAAAAAATAATATGAAAACTTATGCATGTAATCAATGTGGTTCAAAAATTTGATGATTGATTTGATAGAAAATATGAAATTAAAAACATAATTTGACGTATAATATACAATTTTAATTACATACTAAGTAAGATTTATTGATGAAGTATGTGTATTAAATCATAATTGTTGAAGTCACATTTGCTAAATTAATTCTTTTATATGTGATGTTGCTTGATATAAAACTTGCAATCTAAAAATTAAATAGCACTCAAAGTTCATGATTTTTTTTTGAAATCATGAACTTTGAAATCAGAATCAAATCGTTTATAGAAATTCGAAAATAAAAATAAATACTAAAACCGTATATTTGTATAATATAAATCTATAATCAACTCTTTTCATGTTTGATTTTCAAAAGTACATTGACATAAATTATTCTAGATATTGATTTACTCATAATTTAATTTCTCCAATTTTTACTTTAGATATGCAATTTCTATTACTAGTATGATTGAATTTCACAAAATATTCATATTAGATGCATGTTTTTATATCACTATAATTAATAAGAAAAAATCTTTAAACTAAACATAATAAAATAAATAAGATTATAAAATTTAATTAATTCATGAAAATTTAACTAAATAATGCATATTAAATAGATTTTATTTTTTTTAAACAAAAATACATTGATTTTTATATAAGTCACATTTAAATTATTTTTAATCTTGTATTGTATATATTTTTATCAAGAATTGCAATCCAAATAATATGATATGTCATGATAACATTTCATTTATGCAGAATGCAATGTTTTGAGATTATCAAAATGATGAATAACAATATTTTATCTCAATGAATCGTTTTTAAGGATGATATATATTCAGCTCTTCTAATTGACTTAGCTTTGTTATTTTGCAATGTAAATCTTTGATTGATCCAAGTGTGCAAGTGTAAATATATCTCAAATCTAAGACTTTGTTTCATTGACTTATAAATACAGTTAGTATCAACGTAACATAGCAAGAATCGGTCATTCTGAAATAATCCATAAAGAATATTATGATATTTTATACTCTTAAGTTATTTAATGATACATTTCAGAATGTTTCATTGCATTTATCTAAGATTTGACCATTTTATCGAGATGTGGGGCAGAACCTCGGCTTTTACCTTAACCACAATATACACTGTGGAAAGAATGAAAGATAGAAGATTGTGATTTGAGTAAGAACTGAAGTTTTGAACACTACCCAACATCTTGGTCTCTGTATATAGAAGGTATAGATCGGAGCAAGTTCTCAACTGTTAAAAGCCGGCTGGAAGAGTGACAAATTCACAGATGAGTCAAGACTCCTTTCATATATTATATTATAAGCCTAGAGAAGCAATTTCTAGCTAAAATATCTTGTGGAATAGCGAGTTCTAATAGTGATATCTATATATCGAAAATGGTCATTTGTATGTGTTGTGCCGTGGCCTTGAAGGAAGAAGTGCATTGAACTCAGTATCAAAGCAAGATTGTAGAAACTGTATTTGCATATCTCCTCCCTGCTATACATAGGAATATGCTGGATTATTGTATTTCTGCTTATATGGCATACGAAGACTCTAGAAACCTTCACCTTTCCATCAACCTCCATAGAACTGTCGAAACATTTAGAGCCAGTCATTCTATTGCTCTATGATATCATTGTAATCTTGTGATGATCTTCAAACTTATCATCTACTGCTGCAAGGCAAGAAGAGCTTACTTGCTGCACGTGAAGACTTCATACATATGTAGAGCTGCTTCTCTTGCATAATACACAAGTGGGAAGAAAGAATGGCTCAACTGGGCCAGACAAAGCTACTAGAATAAGGTGAGGATGCAGCATGGGCAAAACGAAAGCCGAACCATAATAGGTGATATATGGTACTAACCAATTGATCCGGTCCCTCCGCACAGAAAGACGCTCATGTTCACAAACCATCATGAGTGTTTGGACGTCATGCAGATCTGAACGCCTAATTAAGCTTGTCCTTAGACAGGTTTGAAGACTGCAATAGGAAGGGAGAAAAGGAGAAATTCTTGACTCTTGAATCTGAGCATGACCTTCATCTTCATTGCTAAGATGAAGTATATCTTCGACCCAAATTTCCAGATCTTATATTAGGTTGATTTCTTAGCAGAAAACTAAAGAGAAGAGAACTCCGGATTTACTTTTGGAATTTCCGATTCTCACGCACATTGTTCTCACTCGGGCTAGTTTATCGCACCACATCATTTACACTGAACAGATGCTTTAATTTTCTTTCCGTCTTCTAGGCTAAAAATTCTGCTTCTTTCTAATTTCCATAAGTTGAGAAATTTATATTTATTATAAATTGCACAGGGGCAACTGTAGATGAGGATTTGTCTACACACACGACCGAACAATTTGATGATGGGATTCAGATCAAAATGCTCGAAACCATAAGCCATCAAAGCGGAAGAATGTAAGAAAACCCACCTGGTCAGCCAATTGGACATGAGGAATATAATCACATGGCTTCTACGATGTCAAACACGCAATCACAGATAGTGGAAATTCTACAACGTTTGATACTGATAGAAGGCGAAGGAAGGAATTCCACTTCAACTCATTATGATCAGTCTCCTTGTCTTGCAGGTGCCGAGTTGCTGAATTCGAGAGTCAAAAGTTATAGACAGGCAGGATGTACAACTGAAATATATTTCTTCATTTTAATTATTGTTATCATTGCATAGTTTGTGCGTTTCTACCTGTGATCCTCACTGCAGCTGATGACAAGAGACTAATGATTCTATGTCCAATACTCGACTCGGCTAGTACATGGGCAGACTATTCGAGTCAAGTGCCGGCCGGAGTGGACTGTCAAGAGAAAGCCCAACCAGGTTTATTTCGACCACTATTTTGTCAAGCCTCGAAGAAATCAAATTCATCGCAAAAAACCAGGCAGCCTCTCTGATTGCCATCAGGTTGGCCACCAGAGCCTTGGGTTCAGAGTTGCTGCAACGAGTAAGTCGGACTTAGGCCGAACTGGGAGAGAAGGCTTTCCAAGTTCAAACTTTCCCAAGCCTGCACAACCTTCTTCCAGTAGACAATATATATGATCTTCTAAATCAGATTCATGATCTTTTCGTGTCTCTTCAGAAGGCAAACATATACCACAGGCTGTAAGACAGCAAGGCTCTTCCTGCACCATCGGTTGGTAATTTGGTAGAAGAGTAGCTTTAGAATTTTTGAGAGGCAGCACCTTTCCGATCCAACTTTCACTGAATACTTTTCTATCTTTCCACCAGCCCACAAACTTGGCCTTGGGAACATGTATTCCAGATTCCCCCAATGGCTTGCATGTCGACTTTCCTGAACTCGTTTTGTCTTTCGAATCTGTTCCATTGACGGTGGGATCTTCATCTGTAGAACAAAATTTTGAGTTGCTTTCAACACCCTGAGTATTTTGATGGACCAGATTTCCGTCCTTAGCAAAGCTGGTCGCGGGATCGTTCTTGCTGAGAAATTCGGATATGGAATTTTTGACCTGATTCGTGGAGTCGCAGGGAAGACTGAAGCGGCCGTTTTCCTCATAAGCTGGCCATGGTGGCACATATGCATCCTTGAGGACCCTAAACTTACAATCCAAACAGCAAAATAAAGCTGAGGCTTGATGGAGTAGAGAGCGGCACTGAGCACATTTTGGAGACGAGGAATCTGAAGGTGGGATGTACACGTAGCAACTCGTATCGAGTAAGAAGATGAACGAGGAAAGATCGTTTGGTTTTTCAAAGGTCTGTATGTTCGAAAAATGTACTCCGAGTCTCACCAAGTCCCCTAACTTGACGATTGCTGATTGCTGAAAGTGGTACACCTGCAGATATGTGTGCTGATTTTGCACATGGTCGAGCTCACTCTCTGCTCCATGTTGCCACAGGTTTTCCTGGTGAACTCCCTTAAGGCATGTGATGCAGAAGAAAGAAAGCCTCTTCCTAGAGCTATAGCTGTCATGCGCCAGACGCAGGAGACAGTCCAGCCATTCTGGAAAACAGTCAAACCTGTCCATGAAAGCATGCGTCAAGCCTGGCCCCAAGATCCAGATCAACTTGGCAATGCAATTCAATCACAAATATCTCCAGGTCGCGGCTAGATCTAAAAAGTCTGCTGACCACAAGTACACCCCCTCGTTGAGAAAATATTGGAACAGCAAACGTCAGAGCATTTTTAGATTTCAAGGACTTTAGGTATAAACATTGAATGCAATCCAGTCGAAGGGAAGGATATATTGACGAGCCTGCTCCAGTTCGATCTATCTCCTGATCTACATTATATCGTACCCCAGTAAAAAGTCAACTTGTAGAAGTTTACAGGACGAATCGAATCAGCTAGCTAGCACGTGCACGAACAAATGTGAAGACGTAGCTGTGAGACGACTACAAGGAAAGCTCAGCATCGGATTCATGCGGTCGATGGGATGTAATGGATCTTAACTCCGAACTTAATGAAAACTTCAGCTCCCAGGGCTGCTGGCCATGCAGACGCAGAACAGAAGGGTGGAAGTTGGAGCCTGTGGTCAAGCTCGAGATTCAAAAAGGAATTTAAAATTTGACGGCCATGGTCGCTGTAACGGTGAACTCATGTTCGCCGCGGCCACCGGTTCCTGAGCTCGACCTCAATCCAGCGTAGAAACGGATAGCAATAAGTTCTGCGTCGAGAGTCCCCATCGTCCAGACGGAGTCCGTGGCTGTATTTAATACCATCAGTCGGCTAGTTCGTTAACAGTGCATCCACCATCCTCGCATTCTCAGTCGACAGGTTATATCACATGGCAGTGGAAGTCAAAGTGGTCTATTCGACCCAACCAAGTCATATGAGTGCGTATCCACCTTTCACCTGTTGCTTTCGTCATAACACTCCTGAAAGAGGCCTTATTACCTACAGTCAGCCGATATTCGGAATGTGCAGCTAGACATAAATCTAACGCGTGAATTGAGGGGGTCATTGAATCAGATGCATAATGAAAATCGTCTGATTTCACAATCTCAGAGCTGAAACCAGGACTGAATTGGATGTGGAATTCGATGAAGGATGAAAAGAACCAAGTGTAGATAAGTCTGGAACTGCACTGATCCACTGCCAGGTATGTGTTCAAAGCAATCAAACAGAACGTCGGCACAAACTTTGCTGTCGAAAAGACATAGTTACCCATCTTGGTTTTCAAAGTTCTTCGTTGAAGAAGTAGAAGTCCAACAGAAATTCTCTGGATTTGAATTGTTCTTGAAAAAACAAAGTTCTTCGTTGAAACTCTGAGTACTCGCAATCTTGCCTTCAAAGTATCTCTGATAATCATAGGAATTAATATATTCCGGGATATAGATCTTTCTCAAGACCGTTCTTCTAACTATGATGATCGCTTGCAAGTATTAGTTGAGCCTGTCTATCATATTTTTTTCAAAATTTGGCGAGTCCTTTAGAATTAAACCCGTTTGAGTAAAATTTAGAATAAAATAAAATAAAATCTACAGTATTGTGTTCTGTTTGTGATAAGAAAAATCCCTGATCGCTGTTTGGTTGGACTATCCCCATTCAAAGTTCCATGTAAAGGATTAGACTTAACAAATTCACAGTCTCTAATATATCGAGCACAATGGATGTGTGTCAACGGGGAGATACATAAAGCTGCAAACCAGTGTTTGCTTGTGTCACCTGCAGCAGTAAAGACCTTCTTTTGAAGTGGATGACATCGAAATAATGATGAGGATGTGTACTTAGCCTGATGGGAAGTGTACTCTGATGACCAGACTCCGAGGTGATTGAGGGAGCACCAAGCGCGCACATCTTAAGAACCGAACGCACTCGTTGAATCAGAATCAGAGTGACTGCATGACTCGATGAGAAATATAAGTTCAAATTTCTTCGATGATATGTATTCTGCTACAATGATGGTTTTAGTTTGTACTGATTTAGAGTACCATGACCATCACAAGTACATACAGAAAATGAGCTCCAATTAAGCTTCTGCATGACCGAAACATAATATTCCAGTCGAGTCTACTGCTGCTCTAGACTTAGGTGTTGTTCACCAGCAACGTACGGTTCATGTTGTTTGCACTTGAATAACTGTACTGGTTACTCATGGACCAGAAATTCACGCGTTGTACATGAACGCGTAGGTGTTCCAAAGTCCATACTGGGTCTGAACCCGTAAGGCCTCAGCTACAATGAATAAGAACTTTTGTCTGACGGCAAGATGTGAGGGACTTTGTGGTAACACACTTTTTGTTTTTTTTGCAGAATTTAAACAATTTTAGAAAACTAGTACCAAAGCAGTGTTTGTAGCTAGAGAAGGGTACGCTAAATAGAGTGGATTGATGAGATCGTCACGAGGGCACAAAGAATCACGTAGTCGGATGTACCAACGCCAACGTCTTCGGCGCCTTCGGCAAAAGCTCCTTTTTGAGGTGTCTCTACTCACGCGCCTCTAGCGTATAAGGAAGCTACGCTTCCGGCGCAGACACCTCAGGAGGAGGTTTTGCTAAAGACGTCAGGAGAAGGGCCCGGACCTCTAAAGGCATCCGACCATGAGTGCGCCTTCGGCGAAGCGCCGCTAGCGCGGAAAGGGAAAACCTTCATAACAATCGGGATACACGGTAGATCCAGTTGGTTGAAGTTGCATTAGAAAGAGCTCGGGACGCTCGTTCTAACGAGTCCAAGAGCGCCGGAGATGGATCAGGAATGGAGAAGTTATGAGCGTCGGAAAACTCGTAGCCGGACATGCGCCGTTCGCGCTAGGGTTCACAGCCGGAAAGGATTCCCGTACGCCCTCGGCGATGCGCCTTCGGCGGAATCACGCGCTCACAGAAGGAAACCAACTCAGAGTCGGAAGCGCCCTTGGCGGCTGTTCATGGAAGGAAAGCGCCGGTCGGATGTACGCCTCCGACGTGGCGCTGACGGCCGGATGCGCTGGCATGAGTTGCGCTGACGGATATGCGCTGGCAGCAACAGACGAGGCATAAAGGACAAAATAGGCGGTACGACTGCGCGCCGGCGTAATTCGCTCCGGCTGGATGTGCGCCTCCAGCAAGGCGCCGACGGATAATGAACGCACCAGCGGCGACACGCCTCCGGAGAAGGGCGGGTTAGGAAAAGACAACAGGGCCGACGTATACTCGAGTCCGGAAGGTGGCGGCGGCGGGAGAATTCAACGTTTAAGCATGCGAATGCGCGCAATGCGGAGACGTGAATTCGCGCATGCAAAGGGCGAACCGTTAAGCCGTATAGCCGGCTGCGTACGTTGCAACCAGTAAGAACGTTGGACGTTCTTGAAATCGGAGAAGAAAAGACTGCGCTCCAGTCTCATTCTCTCATTCTTGACTTTGCGATTTCCAGTTCCAAGATTACGCGCAAGGGCGGAGCGACCTGCAGTGAGAGTAGAGAGTGCGGAGACGAGTTGCGCAAGGATCTTGGCGGACCTTGAAAGAATTGTGAGTAGCGATCTTGAACGAGCGCAGAGAGAGTGAGCAGTCAGTGCTTGAGTGGCCGACGCACAGTGGCGATTGTGAGAGAGCGAGCGAAAGGGAGAACGTTTGTGTGTGTGCAGGCAACGCAATGTCGAAGGTTCCCCAGCTGCGAGTGTCTCCACTCAGGGTGCCGCAGATCGGTCTACGCGCATTTCAAGATGTGCTGTTGAGGTTGAAGCTCGATTTTCTCCTATGGGGGTGGAATTGGACATGTCCGGAGATGGTGCGCGAGTATCTGCAGGAGAGACACAAGCCTTCTCGCGGATTTCGCCCACACCCAGAGAGATGGGACATTTGCAATTGGGCGCAGGTGTTGGGCAGGTGTGCCGGCGAGGAAGGGGATCTCCTCTTCGAGGCCGATAGCGTGAAGGTGTCCCAGGAGGAAGAAGTCTCTTACAATGAGCTCTTCAAAGTGGCCAGACATCCCAAGAACGGTTTCCGGACACGGGATTACAAGGATCGATTGCGGAGAAATGTCGCGACGGCATTGCTGCAGATATTGCAGCCGACCAAGACCGCTTACATGCATGGTTGGCAGGTAGAGTTCGTGGAGCTAGTGCTGTCAGGAGCTCCGGTGCATTGGGCACGGCTCCTGTGGAAGGTGACGCGCCAACATGCGCAAGAAGAGAAGGGAGGAACCCTCAATCATCTATCGCCTTACTTAATCGTGTTTTACCGGGCGATGAAATGTTTGACAAATGCTGAGAAAACTCGATTTCCGCAGCTGACCCGGACTTATCCAGGAAGATATTCGAGGGAGGCCGAAGTAGACACAGATCCGGACGAGGAACCTGCCAGTACGCCTCCGGCTCCGGCCCCAGCAAGAGCAGCAGAAGAACGTCGAAGCGAGCGCATTCCGCGAAAGCGAAAGTGGGATGAGAGACCTGAGGACAGACAGCCGGAAGTGCCAGCTGCGCCGACTCGTGGTCGGCCCACCCCCGAGCCTCACAGTCGACCAAAACAGAGGGCACGCAAAATGCCAACTGTTACTGAGGAGACCAGGCGAACTCCGACCCGGCGGAATCTCACACAGGAAGAGATAATCGCTCAGATTCTAGGGAAGACGGCAGATACCTCTGCACAGAAGGCACCACGGCCTTCGGGAGGAGATGGACGGACTGACAGCCGGCCGACTGCGAGTCGGATGACTGAAGGTCGACAAGCGGAAGGAAGGCCAACTGAACGGCGCGTTGAACCGGACAGCAGGCCGGAAGCAGAAGAGAGTTTGGCTGACGAGCCAACAATCCTCAAAGGGTCGTCTTCGGCGGAAGGCACTTCTGGAAGAACGTCCCCAACAAGCAGGCCAAGTGGAGTCAAGACGCGCAGGGTGTATCCGACTCCCAGTCGGACAACTGCTGGTCGGCCGACTGCGAGTCGGACAACAGAGAGTCAGCCGGATTCGCCGACTGCGAGACGGATGGGGCCAACGACCAGTGTGCGGACGCCTTCGGCGGACGCACCTTCAGCAAGGACACCTTCCGCGCAGATTGCGCCGGAAGGACAGGCAGCAGAAGCGGGCGGTGCAAGAGTGACAAAAGTCACTGCGGCGTCGACCCCTTCACAAACCGAAGATCGAGCCGGAACAGGGGCTCAAGCAGTGGGATCTCCCACTGCCCTGGATATTTTAGCAGGCAGTGGAGCAGCAGTCGCAGCAGAAGCTGCTGCGCGCCACAGTTCCAGGGAGTCGCCAAGGGATTCGGTGGCGACTGAAATCCTCGAGACTGAGGATGATACGAGCTCGGAAGAGCAGGAAGCGGATTCGGTGCAGAAAACGCCAACAGGGGTGCTGTGCGAACAGATAGTTCCACTCCTGCGATATCTGGATCGCAAGACATCCAAATACGGAAGTGCCTTAAAACCGCAGTCTTATGTGGAGACTATCAGGCGAAGGACGAGGATCAAGGTGGCAAAGTGGGCCTCTAGTTGCCAAGTATATGTGGAAAGGAACACCGCCCTCCGACAACACCTGGCGGTCACCCAGAAGCTATACCA